CTGTGCCCATTACAGCCTTGCAGTCCATGGTTCCTTTCAAGGTGCACGAATTCGTGCACTGGGTCCCTCGTATTGAATAAAGGGAAGGTGAGAGTGGGAGAGGAGTGGTAAAGAAAGGACTGATGATTCAGGAATTAGTTCCCAAGGAGAAAAGGGTGTTGCATTTCAGAGCACTGGTAGTTGAAAGGCAAAGGAATGGGAGAGTGAAGGGGCTAGAGATACAGAAAATGGATACAGATAAGTCAGCTTCCAGGTAGAAGAATGTACTGTAAGCAGGGTCAGGAACAGAGACAATTAGAGGTGACCCTGTGGCATTGGGAAAAAGAAATCAGGAAATAGAATGCAGTGGGGACATCTGAGAGTAGAGAGTTCATCCAAACAATAAACAGTACAAGCAAGATTGGTAGCAAAGGGTCATAGTGTAAGCTAGGAACCTTGACACCAGGGAAAATCAGAGGATTAGAAGTTTTACTGCAGCTCTTCAGGAACTTGTTTGTGTTTCTAAAGAAGGCAGGAAACAGCCACCATTAACTGGCTCATATCCTAAAGGTAAACATGAGGAAGGAACATTTGACTAGGTGAGGGGGCATGAGAAAGATCCAGCAGAGTAAATGGTAAAAATTTTTTACCAACAAAAACATTCATATGATGTTAGAAATTTTAGAATAAGGACTTTCTCTGCTTTCTTGGTCCTCAATATTCCCTTAATGGGGTATGTCTAAGTGATTCGAAAAGGACTTGGACACAGTATTCACCACAGGCCCCTCGCCCAGGCTGCCCCACACCCCAAGGGAACCCCCACCCTGATCCGGGACACCCTTCAGGGCAAACCAGCTGGCCCCCACCCATGCACCAGGCCTCTATCCTATCTAATAAAAGAGTAATATGCAAATTGACCATCACTCCAACACACAAGATCAAGATAGCTGCCCCCATGTAGTCAAAGATCCTGCCCCCATGTGGACACAAGATGACCAGCAGGGGAGGGCAGTTCAGAGGCACCAAGCCTGCAAGGGAGGGTAGTTGAGAGGGACCAGGTCTGCAAGGGAAGGCAGTTGGAGGCAATCAACCCTGTAGGGGAGGGCAGTTAGGGGTGACCAGGCTGGCAGAGAAGGGAAGTTGGGGGTAAGCAGTTAGAATCAATCAGGCTGGCATGGGAGTGGTTAGGGGGTGATCAGGCTGGCAGGAAAAAGTGGTTAGGGGCAATCAGGAAGCATGCAGGTGAGCAGTTGGAAGCCAGCAGTCCTGGATTGTACGAGGGATGTCCGACTGCCCATTTAGACCCAATCCTGGTGGCAGCCCTCCATGAGGGCTGTCAAGGTGGGATCAGGTTTAAACGGGCAGTTTAACATCCCTTGAGGGGTCCCAAATTGGAGAGGATGTAGGCTGGGCTGAGGGACACTCCCCCACCCCATGCGCAAATTTCGTGCACCAGGCCTGTAGTCATTATATAAAATAGAAAATGCACATAAACAAAAAGAATTGTCTAACTGCAAATAATAAATGAATCAGTCGTAAGTTTTGTGTCTTGGGAATAATTGGTTTATCAAAAGCTATTTCCTATAAAGGTAAAGGCATCCATTCTCAATGAGAAATTTCTTTTGAATTGTAAAGATGGCCAATCCTATTAAGAAGTTAATGAGCCTGGTTCAGTGGTTGAGAATCGATCCATGAAGCAGGAGGTCACTGTTGGATTCCCAATTAGGGCATCAGGGCACATGCCCAGGTTTCAGGCTCCTTCCCCAGTAGGGGGTGTGTAGGAGGCAGTCAGACAATGATTCTCTCTCATCTTTGATATTTCTCTTTCCCTTCCTCTCTGAAATTAATAAAATATATATGTATTTTTAAAAATTAATGGTTTAGGAAAGAGCTGAATAATCCTACAATCATATGTCGAAGTCGTCATTGTTGGGATAGATTGAAAATTGCAAAGGTAGTATAGAGTCTCAGGTGTGCTGGATTCTTACAGAGGTCAGAGGTCATACGCTGCAAGTTCCCAGTTTAATTAGCAGGTGATACTCAACGTCATTGAAAGCAAGATAGCTTCCGAAGCACCTTGCCCTTCTATATATTCAAGGTATAGGTCACCATTCAGAATAAACCATTTTTTATCCTCTGTTGAAACATAATATTTACAGATGCTTTCCATTAAACCCAGTTCTCTGCAACCACCTTCTTTGCTCTGATTTAACTCTGCTTGGTGGTATGGGAGATTATGAAACTCAGTGTGAGACCCACTGTAATAAACGAGTTCATTTCCCTGCTTTTAGCAAAAGAGTCTGAGGCCACTGAGAAATGATTTTTTCCCCCTTTTCTTTAGATACTAAAGGCCCCAGTGCACGATATCCATGCATATGTAGGGTCCCTAGGCTTGGCTGGTGATTAGGGCCTATCTGTGGGGCAACCGGTGGGATAATCAGGGGGCCCCTGCTGGCACTTGCCTTGGCTGACCTGGCACCACCCTCTTGCCTGCTCACCCCCCACCTCCACCGCGTGTCAGGACCTGCGGACTGGGGGCATCTCCTATGCTGAGTATCTGCACCCTGATGGTCAGTCCATGTCATAGTGACTGGTCGTTCTGCCATTAGGCCTATTTGCATATTAGGCTTTTATTATATAGGATAGCTAGATTCTAAAGAGAGTACTAAAATATAATATTACTTTAAGTTTTCATTTCTGGCCTTTAGTCTTCCTCAAATTTTCTGTTTTCTTTTCTGGTATGATATGAATTGATCTCATTTCATCCCTCCCCTTCCCCCAAATGAATGCCTTGTTTTCCATTTATTTATTTTCCATTTATTAACTCCATTGTTTCACACAAGTCTGACCTGCAGGGCCTCCTCACCATGTTTTCCATGTCCTGATGTGTGTGGCTATGTCTGACTCTATCTGATCTATTTATTTACCCTGTACTAGTCCCACATGGCCCTGTCATTGCTCCGTGACCAGTCTTCCTATCTTAATACACATTTGAGAAATAGCAGAAAAAAACGAGAAAGAAAATAACTTGTTGAAATGAAATTGCTTTGAGATGAAATAACTTGTTTGACATGAAATTGCTTTGAATCCATTGATAAATTTGGGAAGAACTTTATAAGATATCTTATAACACTCGACCCTGTTGAATGTTATAATAAACTAGAGGCCCAGTGCACGAATTCGTGCACCAGTGGGGTCCCTAGGCCTGGCCTGCAGGATTGGGCCAAAATCAGCTCTCCAACATCCCCTGAGGGATCTTGGATTGTGAGAGGGCACAGGCCAGGCAGAGGGACCCTACTGGTGCACAATTGGGGCCGGGAAAGGACTGTGGCATGTCCAGCCCATCTTGCTCAGTCCCCCCCCCAGCAGCAAGCTAACTTGTCAGGGCGTTTGCCTCCTGGTGTTCAGTGCACATCATAGCGAGCTGTTGAGCGGCCTTAGAATATCATTAGCACATTACGCTTTGATTGGTTGAATGGGTGACCGGACAACCAGACTTAGCATATTAGATTTTATTATATAGGACTAGAGGCCTGGTGCACCGGTGGGGTTCCTCGGCCTTGCCTGTGGGGATATGCTGCCACAGCCTGTCCTTACCTGCCAGCTTGTCAGGTTCCAGCCTGCTGTCTGTGTTGATCCTGCACAGCATGAAGTAGTGCATGAAGTAGCAGGAGGCTGGGGAGGAGCCTGGACTGGGCACCTCCACACTCCCGCTCATCCTGGCCCTGCTGCTCCTGCCACCACTGCTTGGGGCACACAGGGGGAGTGTCTGCGGGAGAGGCTCGCACTGCTGCAGCTGTGCTCACCAGAAGCAAGCCCAGCATCTGATGCCCGTCTTTCAGCTAAGCGGTGCATCTGCATTGGCCTGGCGATGCCTGCTCACCTGCTCCATCATCCCGCTGTGGTCCTGCTCTCGTCAGGGCCCATTGGGGACAGCAGCACCTCCATTGCGTTGCCAGTCCCTACCAATGCCCCATGGTGTTCAGCACCTGTCATAGTGAGCAGTTGAACTCCCAGGGGACAATTTGCATATTAGGTTTTTATTATATAGGATGTGTTTAAATTAAGAGCAAGTTTGTGTTGCTCTTGTCAAAGTCGCCAGTGAATTTCTTCTGTTGAAGCCAAATGCTGAGAAGGATGAGACCAGGGGAGAACCCTGGTACCTCCTTGCAGCTCCATCTCCAGCAATGAGATGACAGTAATCTCTTCCTAAGCATCTCTCGCTCATGCTTGTCGAGCCAGTTTCCCAGTCACTACATCCACTTCTGATTTCTCCAACACGGTCTTAGATTGTAATTGTTACTTGTAGTTTTGTTCCTGTTTCCTAAGCTCTTGGATACTTGTCCTGCATTCCTGCTTTTAGATATCATTGCAATGGACTTTCTTTCTTTTGCATCTCTCCTCCGCCTTGGAGGTACTTTGGAAAGTGCTTATACAAATAGACTAGAGGCCCGGTGCATGAAAATTCATGCACTGGATGGGGTGTCCCTCAGCCCGGCCTGCCCCTTCTCACAGTCCAGGAACCCTCAGGGCCAGGAGGTGACCAGGCAATCAGGGGAAGGCAAAGCCTTCATCACACCTCTTCTGCTGCCACTGCCGGCAGTGCAAGCCTCTGCCAGCTCTGGTTACCTGAGCCGAGGCTTGCATGTACCTCTGGTCTGCCCTGGGTGGCTGGGCAGCTGCTGTCCAAGGCTTGCCTGCACCTTGGGCCAGTCTTGTATGGCTGGGTGGCTGAGAGGACTGGGGGACTCTGGAGGCAGGTGCATGGAGTGGCCTCGCCTGCTGCTCTGGCCAGGCTGAGGGGACTGGGCGCCATCATCTTTGAGGGTGAGGCATCCAATTAGCATATTTCCTCCTTATTGGCTGTGGGCGCCACCATCTTTGTGAGGGCGTGACAGTCAATTAGTACGTTCCCTCTTTATTAGATAAGATGCCTGGTAAATGTTGGTAACTGAAGTCTAGTGTTTAATTTCATTTGAATTTATGTTTGTCATAATTACGTTCTTTTGTTTGCTTTCTAGGCACACAAACGAATGGTCTGGACTTTCAGAAGCAGCCTGTGCCTATTGGAGGAGCAATCTCAACAGCCCAGGCCCAGGCTTTCTTCGGACATCTCCACCAGGTAGAACGTTCTGCTTGATTGTGAGCGAGGGAAGGATGGAGGCCTGGATGCTGGGGCCTGGGCAGGTCTCTCAGGATGTGGGACTTCTTCAGTTGATCAAGCATGGTGCTAATCACATCTAATCATGCCATACTGAATGGCTAGTCCACATCTTATAGTTTAGTTGACTATAGCTATTGACCCCACAGCTGGAAATGTGTCAATATTATGTTAATCCTCCATCGATAATGTTTGCCTGAGTCATTTATTATTATCATGGTCCCAGTGGTGGTCTTTATTTTAATGTAGCCGTGGTTTGAATTTCTGAACATATGACATGTGAGTGTGAATTAGTATGACAGCTTTCTGTGCGCTTCGTAGGACAGAATCCTTTCGGCTGGTGCTTGTAGCTAGGACTATCATGTCTTAAGGACTTGACTCTGTGGTGTGCTCATATGTAAGATTTTTATTCTGACATGTACATGGAGATTTTGAAATTAGAGTGAGCAGATAATTCTGATAGATTATAATAATAATGCACGTAAGTAGCTTGTTCTTTTGTGTTCTTTCACACAATGTGGAAGATTAATTAAGTTTTTAGATCTAAGTGTTTATGAATACAAGCAAAATGTGATGTAAGGAGTGTCTGACTGACAGTGTGGCATCCCGGTGATGCTGAGTGTGGGCAACACCCTCCAGAAAGCGGTGGGAGCAGCATTTTCTCCTGGGAGGTGGAGGGACCGTGAATTTGTCTGCAGTTTTAACCCCAACAGGTAAACCTCTTTCAGCCTCAGTTCTAGCTCAGTGACACACTTGGTAGAGGCACTTGAAGTCCTTGTTGAGGATAGCTCTATTGATGGACCCTGATGCCCCTGGTTACTTATCTGCAGGTCCAGCTCGCAGGAACAAGTGTGCAGGCTGCTCAGTCTTTAAATGTACAGGTAAGCTGGTATGTGGGCTTTTTCCATTTTTCCGTAATTTTCCAATTTCATGGAGTGAGCAGGCAATAATTTTATAATAGGAAATACTTAGGGATAGTACCCTTTCTGTATTATTGATTCTCATGAAGATCCAAATAGAGGTAATCACTGCCACTAATGAAGATGGATTTCACAGTGTGCTGCTACTGTGTGTGACCTAAAGCGATCAAGAAAGGTCCATTTTTGCCGGCACCGGTTTGGCTCAGTGGATAGAGCGTCGGCTTGCGGACTGAAAGGTCCCGGGTTCGATTCCGGTCAAGGGCATGTACCTTGGTTGCGGGCACATCCCCAGTAGGGGGTGTGCAAGAGGCAGCTGGTCAATGACTCTCTCTCATCGATGTTTCTAACTCTCTGTCCCTCATTCTTTCTCTCTGTGAAAAATCAATAAAATATATTTAAAAAAAAAAAAAAAAAAAAAAAGGTCCATTTTCAAAGTGTTCTGTGTAAGTCCAGGAAAACGCTTCCAAGTTATTCAGCTGTAGCGCATCCCTAACACCAGGCCAGATAATGTCTTAAGTGTCCTTCTGTTTCCAACTGGCTTCCTGTTGCTCATTGTCATATCTTAGAGAAACACTCCAGTACAGAGGAACCAGTCTTAGGTTTGATTCTCAAACTTGAGGTTTAGCAAGTCACCTAACCTTCGGTGCTCATGTCTTCTGATCTGCCTTTAAGTGGGTAACTTGAGAGGATTGCCAGGGTACTTCTCTGCTTGGAAATGTTATGATTCTGAGGATTGTAAGGGAACCTGTTTATAGATATTGATGTGCTTCAGTCAGTCACAAGTTTAAAACAAAATTTAAATCTGGCTACAATACATTGCTTCTGTGAATCATGGCAAAAGCATGCCAAGTTCAAGTATTAGGCATGACTCCTTAATATTTCAATCAGCCTGCTGCTTCCTTTCATTAGCATGTTTAGGGGACACAGTTTCTGGAAGATTGGTTTCAGTGTTGCTAATGACTCAAGACCTGGGGTTGAGCATTCCCTGAAACCCAGTGGAATATGGGCCTACCAACACATGGAAACAAGGAGGGAAAAGAGAGGGAGATAGTGCAACCTCCCTTTGTGAGGGAGAGGAGGTGGAAAATCGCCTGGGTTGCCATGGTAAACTTTCATCCCTTAGAGAGATGTTGGCAAACAGGCTGTGTCTCCAGTGCCACTTGTTTACAGTCCTGCACTGTAATTACCTCACTGACTGGCAGAATTAATCAGAGCCTCTATGTTAATTAGCCTTGCTGCAGTCCCCAAAACAGGTGCTGGGAAATATGCAAATCTATGCAGTATTTCAATGCTCTGTATAACCAGTGTTAATTTAACATAAAATGTTCTCTCAGTGCCCCTTCAGGACTGAGTTCTTTCCCTCCTAAGGGCAGCGTTTCCCTCTAAGCTGCAGCGTTACTTGATGGGCGATGCTAGATTAAAGTTCTCCGGATCCCAGAGGAAGTTCCATGGGCCAGGCAGTCGTTCTGCTGTGGGAGTGAGGCCAGCCTGCCCACCAAAGGCACTTCAGACCGTGGGCCTGGAGGCTCTCCCTTTGAGGGGTGGAAAGTGCGCCCCACCCCTCACCCCTTCGCATAGCGGAATTCCGCCAGTTTGTGGAGGACCAAATTATTTTTTCTTAAAAATTATAATTGCAGCTTTGCTGGCAAGGGAACAACAACAACAAAAAAATCTATAAACTTAATATAATATGCAAAATCAGGAAAACATAAAGATTTATAAGAAAGGAAAAAGAGTGAAACCAGAAAACGCATGACTGAATAAGTTCATGTTTTAAATAATTCTTGAAATATGGAGTTATAGTGCATTTCTTTTAATGAACGATTTGAAATCTCTTTACCCCTCCCACCTTCAGTCTAAATCTAATGAAGAATCGGGGGATTCCCAGCAGCCAAACCAGCCTTCCCAGCAGCCTTCAGTGCAGGCAGCCATCCCGCAGACCCAGCTCATGCTGGCTGGAGGGCAGATAACCGGGGTAAGTTTCCTAGGAGCATCGTAATAGGCGTTCTGTGTCAGACTGCCATTGGCCAGCTGTTGGTTAGGACTCTGCTGCAGCAGGCAGTAACGGAGCTGGGCCTGGCACCATTATGTCTTTAGGGAACCCTCTACACTGGAGGCAGCTCTGAGAAGGGAATTTTTTATGTTTCAGGCTATCTTTTCTACAATTGCAGATGCTTGGGACAAATTGACGGCGTTTCTAAGCCCATGTTTCCACTATTGCTTCGTCATACAGTGGAATCATTGTCCAGTGGGTGAGACTGGACATTGATGAATAGTAGTGACCATTTGCGTTATGACATCATTGCAGAGCAGAGTTAAAGAAGGGAATAATGCCTACAAAAGAAGATTTAAATTACAGTGTGATGTTCTAAAATTTAGCTTCTGGTCTCAAATTCTGGCTCTCAGTTTACCTTCTGGGCTAATTATGCCATCTCCCTGTGGCTCAGTGTTCCTTTGCTTAAATGCAGATGTTGATAATGCCCATGCCACAGTATTGTTATAAAGACTAAGGCTAATACTGTATGTAAAACTCATAGAACAGTGCTGGGCACATAGTATTCAATAAATGTCATTTATTTTTATTGGCAATAAGTTGGCTTATGTGAATATATTGAACATTTAACTTTTCAGCTGTCTTTGCTCTTAGACACCATTTAAAGTATTTTTCCAGCCTGGCCAGCAGGGCTCCGTGATCAGCCTATGAATCTGGAGGTCAAGGTTCAATTCTGGTTAGGGCACATATCCGGGTTGTGGGTTCAATCACCATTAAGGGGCATGCAGGAGGCAGTCAATCAGTGATTCTCTCTCATTAATGTTTCTCTCTCTCCCTCTCCCTTTCTCTCTCAAATCAATAAAAGTAATTTTTTAAATATTTTTCCAGTGCTGAAAATTTCTCATTATTTTGGGGGAAGGAGGTGGGATATTTAGGAGTAGTGAAGAAGAGTTATTTATTAATCGATTCATATCACATCAACCCACAAAATTTTGTATGTCCTTCATTTCCATTAAGTATGTTTTGGCAGTAGAAGGCTCTTCTAAGAATTATTGCAAAATTGTTTACAAAATCCCATTAGTAGAGATGAATACATGTTTATGTATGGTATGAAACCTCTCTAAACATACCTGGAAGGGAATCTGACTTTTAATCGTTTGATTCGGATCTGGTCTCTGAGCCACAGGCAGGTTGTACCGCCCTTTAGGAGGAGGTGTGCCGCCGAGTGGCAGTCCTTGCTCCTCAGAATATGACAGCGTTCCTTCAGGAAGGAGGAGCACACTGCTTTAGTGCAGCTTGAACTGAGTTGCATTGTGAAAGCAAGTTTAAATCTGCTCTGAACACATTTCTTCTGTTACTGGTTGAGTTTTGCTTTGGGTGATGAGTTTCTGCAATAGTGAGGGACACTTGGGATTTCAGGTTTGTGTGGCTGGAGCTCTAGTAAACCTGGCATCAGCGATTATCTGCATGTAGAGAGGGGCTGTCACCACCTGTTTCACAGAGCTAGCATGTGGGAAAGGGGATGTAAAGCTGCAGACCCATTCCTTTCAATAACAGAAAAGACTGCTGGAGGGAGGGGGCTGCCGGGAGACTTGGAAAAGAAACAAATGGAGCTCATATTCTTTAGTCATATCTTCAGCCATAATGGAAATGACAGACTAGGGCAGGTTTCGTGCTAATGGGGAGCAGCTGGGCCTTATCAGCCTTTCCCGTGGTCCTCATTCATCTGAATACCCACTTGCTGCTCTGTTGGGTATACATTTCTTTTCATAGCCTGTCAGCGTTGATTTTTTTTCTTATTTCTTGCTTACTAGTTAATTACTGTTTTGCTTGTAACCTAGAGCCCTGGACAAGCTTGAATGATTTAAGTCCAGAGTGAGGTCCACCATTTTCATTTAAATGTTCTGCTGGTAATGGTAGCTTGGTCACTGATGAACATTTTAGCCTCATGCTAAATAACCATGTGAAGTTTGTAGCTAAAGTCTAATACCACTTGCGTTACCTACTTCAGAGCAGTTGATTGAATTAGGGGCCCTTATCCTTCCAATTGTCTGTCTCACTTTGTTTAGCTCGCTTTGACGCCAGCCCAGCAGCAGTTGCTCCTGCAACAGGCACAGGCACAGGCACAGCTGCTGGCGGCTGCGGTGCAGCAGCACTCCGCCAGCCAACAGCACAGCGCTGCTGGGGCCACCATCTCTGCCTCCGCTGCCACACCCATGACGCAGATCCCGCTGTCTCAGCCCATACAGATCGCACAGGTGAGTGAGCAGCTCCTGGAGCCTGGAAGGTAAAGGAACAGTCTCAGAGCTGGGCAGGGAGAGGAACAGTCTCAGAGCCGGGCAGGGAGAGGAACAGTCTCAGAGCCGGGCAGGGAGAGGAACAGTCTCAGAGCCGGGCAGGGAGAGGAACAGTCTCAGAGCCGGGCGGGAAGTGAGGATCAGAAGGGCAGCTTTCCTTTAATTGGAAATTCCCTCTCTGGTTGTTAGTGGAGCCCTTGCAGGCCCAGGAGCTCTAAATAACTGACTGCATAAGGTGACAGTTTTTGAATAACGCTGGATATTTCTGCGTTTCATTAGCCTCTGGCTGCAGCCTGCTCTGCCCTGTGCACAGTGAGCGCTGCCCCTGTGCAGCCTGCTCTGTCCTGTGCCATAGTGAGCGCTGCCCCTGTGCAGCCTGCCCTGTCCTGTGCACAGTGAGCGCTGCCCCTGTGCAGCCTGCCCTGTCCTGTGCACAGTGAGCGCTGCCCCTGTGCAGCCTGCCCTGTCCTGTGCACAGTGAGCGCTGCCCCTGTGCAGCCTGCCCTGTCCTGTGCACAGTGAGCGCTGCCCCCCTGTTGCGCCTGCCCTGTCCTGTGCACAGTGAGCGCTGCCCCTGTCAGCCTGGCCCCTGTGCCTGTGCACAGGTGAGTGCTGCCCCCTGGCAGCCTGCCCTGTCCTGTGCCATAGTGAGCGCTGCCCCTGTGTCAGTCCTGCTCTGTCCTGTGCCATAGTGAGCGCTGCCCCTGTGCAAGCCTGCCCTGTCCTGTGGCCATAGTGAGCGCTGCCCCTGTGCAGCCTGCCCTGTCCTGTGCCATAGTGAGCGCTGCCCCCTGTGCAAGCCTGCCCTGTCCTGTGCCATAGTGAGACGCTTGCCCTGTGCAGCCTGCCCTGTCGGTGCACAGTGAGCGCTGCCCCTGTGCAGCCTGCTCTGTCCTGTGCCATAGTGAGCGCTGCCCCTGTGCAGCCTGCCCTGTCCTGTGCACAGTGAGCGCTGCCCCTGTGCAGCCTGCTCTGTCCTGTGCCATAGTGAGCGCTGCCCCTGTGCAGCCTGCCCTGTCCTGTGCCATAGTGAGCGCTGCCCCTGTGCAGCCTGCCCTGCCCTGTGCACAGTGAGCGCTGCCCATGTGCGGGCCAGCGAGGCGCCTGCTGCTGCCTGGCGCCTGCTGCTGCCCAGCTCTGCCCAGTTGGGCAGAACTCTGTTAGGATATTGCTTGGTTTCGTTTTTCACATTTTGGAGCCAAGTATCAGAGATAATAAAAATGTATTTAAGAAGCATAGACAGTACCACCAAGGAGGGAGGCAAATGAGATCCTTCATCTCAAGGAGAGGAAGAGAGAATTGGGTAGTCAGGGCAGTGAGATCTGTGAAGATTGTATGAGCCTGCCTGCACAGCTGTGGTCATCCCTGAGGGAGGCCTTGGAATGGCCTGAAAGGGAGCAGAGTGTGACCAGGCAGCACAGAGAAGCCACTAAAGAGTAGGGGAGAGATGTCAGACTAACTTTTTTGGCTATTATATACAATCTTTATCAAGATGGCGTTTTTATTTTGACCACTTCCTTCATCACCAAAAACATGTTGTTAGTGCCTAAGCTGTGAGACCCTAAGTTGACATTGTTCAATAAGATAAGATGCTATCGATCAGATTTTTTATGGATAACTTAATATTTCACAGTGATTTCTCAGTTGAATTCAATGAGCTGGTGCCAAATTTCATAAATCACTATAGATTTTTAAATTTGATTATGCAAATTCAGATAGCACTTTCAAATTTTACTTCAGAGAAAAGTCAGTCAAGTATTTAAAAATCCAACCTTCTTTTCTCATTTGATGTTTAAACTCCACTTGATTTTTAAAACCCATATTGGTCTCTACATGTTAAAACACAAACTATAACTGTTTATTGTGGGAATTGGAAATAGCCATTGAAAATTAAGCTCATTGTAAGTCACGACACAATATCTGCCAACAAATATAGTCCTTGTAGGAGCTCCGTTTTTTTTCTCTCGCTTTGTGGACACACCCGAGTGTCCGTTCATGCAGGAGTGAGAAGTGTTGCCTGATTGGGTGGGGACAGAATGCCTCATCTGAGAATGTCGAATAAGCAAACTTTTATCTCCCTCTCCAACCATGTTCTAATTCTAATGCTTTAGGATCTGCAACAGCTACAGCAACTTCAGCAGCAGAATCTCAACCTGCAGCAGTTCGTGCTGGTACATCCAACCACCAACCTGCAGCCAGCACAGTTCATCATCTCACAGACGCCGCAGGGCCAGCAGGGTGAGCCCATCACAGCTGTCCACTTGCAGGGCACGCGGCCCCGAAACTGCCCGTTAGAACAATGTTTTCCTTAAGTTTTATTGATCTTTAAGCTCACTATTCAAGTTAAGAGGAGTATTTTTTCCATGCATACCACAATACTGAAGGTAGTTTTTCCCTGCCATCATCTCTCTAATCACTAAGGAGGAACCAAGAGTTTGGCCAAAAGTCTAAATGAAATCCCTCAACATGCTGAACATAAATTGGGTAAATTGCTTCTGGTGTTTTGGTAGTTTTTCCTGGAAGTATATTCAAAGAATGTGGGCCAAGAATTATATATGTTTCTAACAATCATTTGGTTTATTTTAAGGTTTGAGAAGGAGAGGGTGTTATACTAGAAGGTGTGCACGTCTTGTGAATGATAAAAACTGTCTTCACCGCTTTTTGGTGGTGAATATTGTATCAACAATCCAGTTGATCATGTTTATAAAACTGGTTAATGGCATCAGTGCAGAGGGTTTTTCAAGGCTTCAGCCCACTAGTGCTTCTCTGTGGTTCCTCATCATTCCTCATCATTGCTGTTGCTTAGCCTTTTTTCTTGACCATTCATTCACTCCAGAACCTTTTGTTATGCAAATGCCTGTTACACTTAAAGGGTAGTCTGCTCCCTTCATGAACTAGACAATTCTCTGGTTGTTTGTGAAGGATTCTGCGTGAGAAATTGAGCTCTTGGGAATATCAATCTGCTTCCATTTAGACTACTTCACTTTCATCCATTCCGCCCGAAAGTGAAGAACTGGCCAATTAGAGGGTCATTCAGGTTATGCTAAAGACATACCAATCTTAGTCTAATGTTTCATTCTCCTTTCCCAAGTCACTTTAGTAAGACCAATAAGACTATCAGGAGATCAGTTGGAAATTTCCATCTCATGATCATATTCTTTTTGCTGTGAGTTCAAAGTTGTCCTGATGTTCCTGGCATAATGTGTTGTGTTTTAACAGGTCTCCTGCAAGCGCAAAATCTTCTAACGCAACTACCTCAGCAAAGCCAAGCCAACCTCCTACAGTCGCAGCCAAGCATCACCCTCACCTCCCAGGTCAGCCTTCTCCCATGGGTTTGCTTTTTCTTGTCCTGTTGTTTTAAGGGGCTTTTGGACTTCATTGAATTAAATACACACACACACACACACACACACACACACACACACACACACCCTAATTTTAAAAATCATAGTATTCAAAAACTGACCAAAAATTCAGAGCTGGACTTATCAGCTTGATAAAGCACCACTACCAAATTGATGTAGTCATTGAAAATCTTCAAGGAGTCCCTTTTCTTTCATGTATGTTCATAAAGAATGGCAGTCTTAGCGGCAAGTGAGTAATAAGTTTTGGCTATTTGACCACCCTCCCTCAGCCCTGCAGTAAAGTTTGCCTTGAACTATAGAGGCCTGGTGCCCCAGTGAAGGCCCGAGCACCCTTGGAGCTGCATAGACACCTTAAGTCTTGTGTTTTCTCTCCTCTCAACTTTCAGGTATTGCTTTAGCTCATTTCTACTAGAATGTAGCTCTAAAAACACACCAGTCTAGGCACTGACAAGTGGGTGTATTAGACCAGTTCAGCTGTGACTGAGCATATCATTTGCGCATCTAAAATTAGGTGATGTTCTGAACTGCTGACCCTGGGGCCCATTCCACTTCTTACTCTGTAGTCATGGAAGTTTTCACACATTACCAGATTTGACAAAATGCAACATCTACTCTTGCAAATTAGGAATAGAGGGTACCTTTCTCAACTTGTAAAAAGCATCCACCAAAAACTCAGCATCATAAAGATGACCCATTTCAACTACAGGAGTTAAATCTACAGCCACAGACTTGGTGTGATCCTGGCCTGCGATCTCTCCACCCGGCACCAGTCACAGGAAGGGTCAGCTGAGCGATGGAGATGCACTCATGGCAGCACCTGTCTGCCACTAATGATACTCAGAAGACGTCTCCTCGTGCTTGTGTTTTCATAATAAGGACATTTTATATTTCTTCCACAAAAAGGAAAGATTATACCCTATGTGCCCAAGTAAACTTTAGATGGATTTCACTAATTAAATGTTTTAAAATACATAGAAGAAGCAGGTAGAATATTTTAAAAAATGTATCCAAGTTATAAATAAATGAAAGTTTTTTTCATATTTGAAGCAATAGAAAGAAAAAAGTTTCCCTCTTTTTTTCCTTTTGATAATTTAAAACAGGTACGTTGAAAAATAAAAGGAAAAGCAGATAGGAAAAATTTGCATTAATGCAACACAAATCTGTAACATTTGATCAGTTCTTTAAGGATAAGAATGAGAAAATCATTAATACTTTATATAAATGGGTTGAGATGTAAAACTAATTTACATCAAAGGAGATACAGATAATAATTTACACATGGGAAAATTCTGACTTTGTGTAATAAGAGAAATACGAATTAGGGCAACTGTGAATTAGCAGAACATTTTGAAAACTGCTGACAGATTTTGGGGAGAGATTGGGTGGTGAGAACTGACATGCTGCTGTGGATCAGAAGCGATGCCATTGTCTCTGGCCGCCCTTTATCTGGTTATAGAAAGTGCCTCATGAGTTTATCTCAGAGAACTAATTCCAGAGGTGGGAAAAGAACTACATGCAGAACCATTTGTTGTGGTGTCACTTGTGCTAGTGAAAACAAAAGAAGTGTCCAGCAATGAAGAAATTGTTAAATAAATTATGATCGTATTGCTTCCATCAGCCTTTGAAAATGATAATTAGAAAGACTGAAAAACCATAGGAATAAAAAAACCCAAAAACATAATTTCCCTGGCCACTGAGCGTGGTTGGAGCATCTATAGGCACTGGAGGGTTATGGGTTTGATTTCTGATTAAGGCCTCGTGCCTGGGTTGTGGGTTTGATCCCTGGTCCCAGAAGGGACGCAACAGTGGGGGTGCGGGGGCCCACCAGTTGATGTGTCTCATTAATGTTTCACTCACCCCCTTCCACTCTCCAATGGAAAAAAACAGGATAATAAAAGAAATATAGATCTGTGGAAAATTCGAGGAAATATAAACAAATGAAGCTATTAAGATATTTAAACTGTAGGTGGTTTGCTTTTCTTGTACTTTAACAATCTTATAGTAATATTTATAATATTGTGTCACAAGTTGGATATATACAAGATAGTGATAAACAAGATAGATTAGTCCCTGCTGTTTTGGAACTTATAGTTTAAGTGGTATGTTTATTAAGTAGAGTCTAAAAAATGAGGAATAATCTATTAAAAGGTATAAAATACATGTATTCAGACCATTTGAAAACCTGAATATACTGAGTTTCATTTTTAGGTAGACGAGTTCTTTACTTGTGCTTACATTTTAACCTTACCTGTGATTCTGGTGGACATGATTTCACATTCTGTGTTTCTCCACGAACCCTACATTTTACAGGGTCTTTATAATCCTCTCCCAATACAGCTGTTTCCTTAGGTTGTTTACTTGCTGCACAGTCCAGATGCAACCTAAACACCTTTTTGTATGTCTGTTCGTCTTCTTTAACAGCCAGCAACCCCAACACGCACAATAGCTGCAACCCCAATTCAGACACTTCCACAGAGCCAGGCAACACCAAAGCGAATCGACACTCCCAGCTTGGAGGAGCCCAGTGATCTTGAGGAGCTTGAGCAGTTTGCCAAGACCTTCAAACAAAGACGAATCAAACTTGGATTCACTCAGGTAGATGAGCCCGCCCTGAACTTGGATTTCCCTACTCAGCCTGCTTTATGTGCCCATTAGTTTTCCTGCATCTATAAGATTAGACTATTGTATATATTTGGTTATAAACTTATGATTTAATGCTAGGTTAAAAACCTTTAAGATTCTCTCAGAACATAGGCCTCTGAAATTATAATTATACCAATAGTGCTGAGAAAGTAAAAGATTGTGTTAGGAGATGATATGACTATATTGAGGGTTTAGTTATTTGAAGAACATCTGGTTCTAGACCTTAGTGCTATATATGTGAGGTAGAGTGTGTCAAGATTGCAAGTATCAGAGTAGCTGACGGGAATGTTTGAAAGGCTTGTTTGAAATAGTTTTTGTAGGGGGTGGAGACATGCGCTTGCATGCACACACTCATGGGTGCGAAATGTACAAAATAAGCCCAAACTGAAACAAATTAAGAATCTGTCAAAGACGAAATATCCAAATTAGGTTTTTTAATGCCAGGTAGCAGGACATTGCGAGTAGAACATGTCCAGTGGTTTGGCAGGAGACTTGGCTATAGGCACTGCTTTAATTCCTCTTGTTCACCGCATGAGTGACACTGGAGTGGAGGAACTGAATGGCCTTTATGTAGAATGAGAGGCCCAGTGCGTGGGTTTGCACACACTGAAAGGAAATAATTAGAAGGCGGCCAGCAGGACAGGACTGGGCGAGACTGGCCACACATGCCCTGAGCCAACCTCCTGTGGTCTCTCCCCAGCCACTCCTACCTGGTACAGTGCCAGGGCTCAAAGGGCATCTGCCGAGTGAGCAGGGTCCCTCTGGGAAGTGGGGTCCAACAACATCCCCTGAGGAGTCCTGAAGTGCAAGTTGCTCATCAGCTCCTGTGTTGAGTTTTTGCCCCCTGGTGGCAGTGTGCATCATAGCTACCTGTCAGAGCACCTGCCCCCTGATGGTTATTTCGTGTCATAGCTACTAGTTGAATAGTAAGATGGTCGCTTTTATAACCTCCTATACAATAAAAGCCTAATATGCTAAGTGTCTGATTGTCTATTCAACCAGAGCATAATATGTTAATGATACGCTAAAACCACTTAATCACTCACTATGACATGCACTAACCACCAGGTGACAGACGCTCTGACCTATAGGTTAGCTTGCTGCTGGGGTCCAGCCAATTGGGACTGAGCGAGATGGGCCGGACACGCCCTGGAGCCCTCCCATGGTCCTTCCCTGGCTGGCCTACCTCCTACATCTCTTCCTGGTCCTGGTTGAGCCCAGTTGGGGTCCTTCAGCCTGGCCTGCATCCTCTCACAATCCAGGACCCCTTGGGGGATGTTGGAGAGCCAGTTTCAACCCGATCCCACAGGCCAGGCTGAGGGACCCCACTGGTGTACAAATTTGTGTACCGGGCTTCTAGTCCTATATATTCACTAATAAAAGCCTAATATGCTAAGTGTCAAGTCGTTGGTTGGCTATTCAACCATTCAAAGTGTAACATGCTAATGATATGCTAAGGTTGCTCAACCACTTGCTATGATGTGCACCGACCACCAGGGGACAGACAGTCGACCAGTCACTATGATGTGCACTGACCACCAGGGGGGCAGATGCTCCAACCAGTAGGTTAGCTTGCTGCTGGGTTCTGGCCAATTGGGATTGAGGGATATGGACCGGACATGCCCTGGAGTCCTCCTGCGTCCCTCCCTGGTCCCATCATGCACTGGTGGGGTCCCTCTGCCTGGCCTGCACTGAGGGACCCTCTCTCTGTCCCTCCCCCCACCCCATTGCATGCATTTTGTGCACTGGGTTTCTAATCCTATCTAATAAAAGAGTAATATGCAAATTGACCATATCTTTGCTATACCCACAAGCCACGCCCACCAGCCAATCAGGAGTGAGTATGCAAATTAACTCAACCAAGCTGGCTGTGGCCATGGCGTGAGTAGGAGGCTTGGGTTTCCCCAGCAATGGAAGAAGCCAAGCTATCCACACTCCCTGGCAGGCCCTGGACTCCACTCAAGGCTACAAAGTTTCGATTATAGAAGATAAATAAATCTCAGATACCAGGGCCTCCACTTGGGTTGCCAGGGGACATGGCTGGCCTGCAAATCACCACAGGCCCCACACCCCAAGGGAACCCCCACCCTGATTTGAGACACCCTTCAAGGCAAACCAGCTGGCCCCCACTCGTGCAGCAGGCCTCTATCCTATCTAATAAAAGAGTAATATGCAAATTGACTATCACTCCCAACGCACAAGCTGGCTGCCCCATGTGGTCAAATATGACTGCCCCTATGTGGACATTTTATGGCCACCACAAGATGGCTGCCACAAGATGGCCAGCCGAAGAGGGCAGTTAGGAGGGACCAGGCTTGCAAAAGAGGGCAACTGGGGATGATCAAGCCTTCAGGGGAGGGTAGTTAAGGGTGACCAGGCTGGCAGGGGAGCAGTTAGGCATCAATCAGGCTGGTAGGCAGAAGCGGTTAGGGGCAATCAGGAAGGTAGGCAGGCGAGAAGTTGGGAGCCAGCAGTCCTGGATTGTGAGAGGGATGTCCTGCTCCCTATCAGGATCGGGCCTAAACGGGCAGCAGGACATCCCTTGAGGGGTCCCAAATTGGAGAGAGGGTGCAGGTTGGGCTGAGGGACACCCTCCCCCACCGCCATGCACACATTTTGTGCACACCAATAAAAGAAAAATATGCAAGTTGTCCCTACAGGGGGGGGTTTGACCGGGAGTTACACTTGTGCTGACGACCAGGAGACGGCACGGAACATGGGATTCTATGACAAGACAGGTAGCAGGGAGAAGGGAGTCCCTGGCCAGCAGTGGTGGCGTCAGGCAGCCCAGGGAAGGAAGGTCCTGGCTGGTTGCCGGCAGCTGCTAGGGATCCTACACATGCACTGGGCCTATAGTATATAGATAACAGAAGATCATTAGATGAAAAAAATTACTGAAGTATAGAATGGATTGGGTGTTTTTATGGAATCAGAAGAAACCTGATGTTTTCTTTCCAGAGAATAGAATTACTATTTGAAATCTGAGCCACCATTACATACTGTCTCATTTCCTTTGTGTAGGAAGAATAGTAATGTACCACTTGCTCAGGTTGGCCGGGTGACCCTGCATGTGTCCTGGTGTTTTTATGAACAGACTTATATTCCTAACTTCTTTGGTAGTTCATTTTTGCTCAAAGAAACTAATATATTAGGAACATAAAATGATTTTTTCAATAACTATAATGTTAGAGATAATGCAGTTATGTATTTGTGAGGAGTTTCAATTGTGAAGGAACAAATTACAATTAAGAAAGATTGAAATATTGAATGATCTGGCTTATTCCTAAAAAGAAAGTGAAAGATACGGAGTACTTTACTGCATTTAAATATATGAGTCAGGTTGGACTAGTCCTCAGTGCTTCAGCTTTAAGCTATTAGCACAGCATACTTTGAGGTTCCCTAGGAAACTGTTGCCTAAGTGATATGCCAAGGATGTTAAGGCTTTTTGAAACCTTTAACTTTTACCCAGATAGTGGTTTCCTTTCTGTGGCACTTGACCCAACATATTGCCAGTGTTGTGTGAGTGTGCGCCCCTCTCTCTCATATATCAAAGAGCTTCCCTGTGATCTGGTGTTGTGCTGATGGTTTTATCCTATTATTTGGCACAATTGTGCCTTATTTTTTAAAATGACTCTGATACAGCAGTGCCTATATTTCACAGACCTTAACTATTTGGACTAAAGCACATGTCACCAGTGCAGGATGGGAAAATCAAGCCTTTGTGTGTAAGGCATGTACCTCAGTTGTAGTTATTCAAAGGTTGCTTTATATCCAGCTTATTATACACACACACAGCATTCAAGTGATTAGTTAAGACAAAAAAAAAATCCCTCTTTGAGAAATCTCCATGTTGTTAGCTGTTTCTGACTACATCATTGGTTATGAAAGTGTTACTGTAGATGTCATTTCATAATTAGGAGGCCATGGTGTGATACTTTTCTCTCACGTGACACATTCATTATTTCCTAATCCCAATCTTTGCTCCTTTTCCCTTTTGCTTCTTAAAAAATATCAAAGGAATATAATGTAAATTTTGTACGAGTCAGCTGCTTCAAACATTTATTTCTGTGGGGGATAGCCCCAATGGTTTTGAGTTATAAAAGCACCAAGCCACACTTACCTCAAATTAATGAACATTAGTATATTAACTAAGTGAGGACCTATTGCTTTTCATTCAATTAAATAGTTTAAATGTGAAGTAAGACTGTATTATACATCTCAAATAAGTCAATTTGTAATTTATTGCCATAGTTTTACTTAGTTAATGGCATAGCCACCAACGTAAGGTATTTATTCTTATTATGATGTGATTTTTGAATAGGTATTTCGTTTACTTGTCAATATTGTTACTTTTTAGAGATATTTATAGAAGTTTGTGAAAAAACTTCTAGTGAGTGATGAATTACAATGTCAGAAACAGTTATTTCCATCTTATCTGCAACAGCAGGTCCCATATGCAAAGAATTGCAAGGTTGGGTTCGCCCAACTCTCTAGCAGGCTGTAATCTAAACAAGTAAAGTGACCAAGACACACAGCTAGTTTAGTATCTGATATCTAGTAGGCACTTAGTGAATGCTTGTGATTGACTAAATGTACAGAGATATTGATTCAGATAGACACCTGTCCACAGATAGACTTAGCATTTATGCCACTTGCACTATCCCGGGTCTTTGTTTGCTGTAACTGAACAGAAATCAGTAAGCAGTCACTTCTGACCTGGAAACAGATGTCCGGAGCAGTCAGTGGCACTGTCGGCATAGGATAGCCACTATGCTCGTGTGACTGTTGCTGGGCAGCAGGGTGGCTGGTGGAGCCGAGGAACTGGAGGTTTAATTGATTGGTTTTGAATAATTTTCATTTAAATAGCCACTTGGGGCTGGAGGCTCCTGGGGAAGGCCAGGGTGACAGCCCAGGGAAGGTCCGGTGTTCTCAATGCCTCCTGCCATCTTCCATCCCAGCTTTCTTCTCTATTACACATTGTATCACAAGTTGCTTACTAGTGAGAAAATGAGTTAAAAATCCTTCCCTCTCCCTGGCTCACCTAGCACAGGTGTGAATAAACAGTGTAGTGTCCAAGGATGGCATGTAGGGGAATCACAGGACGGACTAATCCCCGTTCACAGTAACTGCTGGCACTGGCTGGGCCTGAGCTGTCCCTTGTGTCCCACGATGGAATGAGCTCTGCAGCACTTCCCGGAAGTGTTCTGCCTGTCACTAACGGATGGAACAAGAAGGTGAATCATTAAACTCTAGGAGCCTCTGTTACCTGAATACAAACTGTGAAGATGTGGCTTTTTCCAGCTTTAAAGGCGACTCATTTGGCTGGAAGGAAAGCACGGCGTACATTCTGGGCTTATAAGCTTAGAGAAAGACATCTGTGTAATAGATTCAGGGGTCATCGTTCCATTGCTGTAAGAGGACCGTCTCAGTGTCCATGAAGGTGTAACTAAGTGGGTCATACCTCTCCACTGTGAATTTCTTTCTCTCTAACAGTTATAAAGGTATTCTTTTAGAATACCTGTTTTTTATAACCAACTTTGAAATCCAAACTAAGAGTGGGAAATAGATTTTTTTCAATGCTTCCAGAAATAATTTACAGGGATAAAAGAAGTAAGGGATCATTTCTAGATTTTAAAGTCATTTATGGAAACGTTGGTTAGTTCATAAATACCTGAGGTTATCCAGGCAGTTACTTGTGTTAACTCTGTAGGATTACTTAGTCACTTTGTTACATGAATTAAGGGGCTGGTTTAGAATATTAACACCATCTTTTGGGACTTAGTAGAAATATTTATAATCTTAACTATTATACAAGGTGGCAAGAAGAGATTCAGAGTCCAGAGTGCTAACCATTACACTATGGAACCTCCCCTGCAAGAAGAGATTCAAAATGGAGAGAATATGGGACAGTTTTGATTGTTGTTAGATTGGGGCCTAACTCCTCCCTGGAGCACTGAGCCCAGCTCAGGGATGGGTGTTTCTGTGGGATCCTACAAAGGGGCTCATTGTTGAGCCTTCATCTACGAGGGCCTGTGGAGGGAAGGCCGTCACCGTTGGTGAGATGACTCTCTTCTCGCTCGTCCTCCCACTCCTGTCTGTATTTCTGTGCAGGGTGATGTTGGGCTCGCGATGGGTAAACTGTATGGAAATGACTTCAGCCAAACTACCATCTCTCGCTTTGAAGCCTTGAACCTCAGCTTTAAGAACATGTGCAAGTTAAAGCCACTTTTGGAGAAGTGGCTCAATGATGCAGGTGGGTGAGAAATGGCCTCATTGTCTGTGGGAATCCTACAGGGGCTGTCATGTAGAGTGGGGTTTAGATTTCATATTGCACTATTGGCACTACAGAGCCTTAAAACACGCCAGTCTTGGGAGGATTAATATAAGTTGTGGTTCCATAAATCAGAGATTCGTTTAAATAGTAATTGCAATGCACACAATGAAAAACATTTTTTTTTTTTTTTTTTAGTTTTAGAGCATTTCTAAAGGATTGAAGGAAGAGGAAAAAAAGCCTATGTATTTACATATACTTGAAAAAACAAGCTTATTGGTTCTTCGTTGATGAATTATAGTAAATTTGTTCTTGATGATATTTTTGCTTTTGTTACTAAAAACAACCACATTCATGAGAAGTTGAGTGGCCAGTGTTAACTTGTGTGTTTTGTACTGAGGTTTCCTTTTGGGAAATTTGAAGTTTGAATCACAGAACCACAGACTGTGGGCTGTGAGGAAAGTGCAGATTGCCTAGACAGCAGTTCCTGTTTAGATGGGAGGAAAACCAGGTCTTTGGAAAACACCCTGTACCTGTGGCCATGTACTCATGGTCCTGTATCCTTTCTGAGCTCCACAGGTGAGAACCGCCGGCTGCTCTGCCCTTCCCTCCATGTGCATGGAGTGGAAAGAATCAGAGCTGGTTCCGAGTTGCTCAGGGTCATTCAGCTATTGACAGAACCTTGCTTGTTTCAACTACCAAGAATTTAGAAGTATTTCATTGTTGTTTGGTTTGGGGGGAGGTGTTGCCCTAGATTATACTAATGAAATGAGAAGTCATTTGCGAGATAAATCTTAAATGTTCAATAATTTCCAACAAACTTTCTTTTATCCCTAGAGCTAATCTCTATATATAAAAGCCTAATATGCAAATTGTCCCCTCTGGAGTTCAACAGGGAGACCAGGAGTTTGATCGCTCTCCCTGACATGCACTGACCACCAGGGGGTAGTGTGGAACGAAAGAAAGCCCTGGCTGGAACGAAAGAAAGCCCTTCCCCGGCAGCCAGGGAAGGGAGGTCCTGGCCAGTTCTGATTGCCTAGGAACCTACCCATGCACGCATTTCATGCACTGGGCCTCTAGTAAATAAATAAGCAAACCCAAAAGTAAGGACAGAACTCAGAAGAGGTAGAGCTGAGTCTCAGGGCAGAAAGAGTAACCCTGTGCTTTCTCAGAGACAAGGCAGAGGGCAGTAGGGACAGACAGCCAACTGTTCTCAGACCACAGCTAGAGCAGCGAGGAGCACTGTATGTCCATGTCGGTATGGAAACCTTTTCCTACGCTTGTGGTATAAACTGTCTTGGTTGCTTTATGTTGTTAATACGTGTGCTATTCCTTCGACCTCCTGTTTTCTCCTTTCTCACAGAGAACCTCTCATCGGATTCAGCTCTCTCCAGCCCAAGTGCCCTGAATTCTCCAGGGCAGGGAATCGAGGGCTTGAACCGTAGGAGGAAGAAACGCACCAGCATAGAGACCAACATCCGTGTGGCCTTAGAGAAGAGTTTCCTGGAGGTCAGTGGGCATTTTACTTTTCGTGGGCGTGGGATTGTTGTTATGGTGCTCCCATTAGGTCTGTCAGCCATAGCCCTTATGGATGCTTATCCCATCGTGGAGAAAATAAGACAACCTAGCAGCATGCATGCCTGGGTTCAGGGAGAATAGATTCACATCCACGGGAGTCCTTCGTGTGACAAGCAGCAGCTGCCATCAGGCACAGGGACTCCAGACAGGGAGGGGCAGGGAAGAGAGAGCAAAGGCGTCCAGATGAACCGAGGGGTCAGCGCAGAAATGGTGGTTCAGTTTGGCTGAGTTCTAGTGTCTGCTAGAGTAGCAGTTTGGGACCAGGACACAGAGGGCCTTGAATGTCAGCCTATCAAGTTCAAATTAATTCAACAGATACATGGCTTTTGGGTGGGTTTTGTTTTTTTGTTTTTTGTTTTTTACACCAGGAAATATCTCAATCAAAGCTTCCAACAAAATTCTGACTCTGGTTCAGTGGAAGGAGCACTAGTATCTGCCACTTCAGTCACTGAGTCCCTTTATCTGGGAAGCACTTTCTGTCTTGCTACACAAGCTTACAACAGCAACAAAAGTAAACATTCAAGAATAACTTACCCTAAGTTACCGGGAATAAATTTAATAGACTTGTGTTCATTGGAATGCTCGTCTGCAGACATTTTGTTAAGGTGGGCCTGGTGGTCACTTACATCCCAACTTCACTCCCCGGCCTGCCCGCCCTGTTTGCTGGTTTGTATAATGGCTCAGCTGGGCCAGTAGTTCTAAAGGTTCTTCACAAGACGATTTTCCCTTCAGAATCAAAAGCCTACCTCGGAAGAGATCACCATGATTGCTGAGCAGCTCAACATGGAGAAGGAGGTGATTCGAGTTTGGTTTTGTAACCGCCGGCAAAAGGAAAAGAGGATCAACCCACCCAGCAGTGGTGGGACCAGCAGCTCCCCTATCAAAGCAATTTTCCCCAGCCCGACCTCCCTGGTAAGGACGGGACCGGGAGCGCTCAGGCTCACTTTATAGTTTACAAGTGGCTCGCTCAGTCTGTATTTTATAATATAGAATTTACTGTGAGAGTGGTGTAGGGGAAGGCTGGGGGAGGTGTGTGTGTGGGAGATGGGGGGAGGAGCAGGGGGCTGTGAGAGGCAGTCAGGGGAGCAGTTGGCAGATACAGCTTTGTCCTGTGCAGCTGTCTACTTGTGTTTGGATTTATGTGAACTAGAAAGAAGACAGTATATATAATTTTTTTACAAAACTGTAGACAATATTTTGTTGTTTCAAAGAGAAACTCTGTTTTTTAAAAATTTGTTTTATATTCTTTTCATAACATCATTTCATTAAAAACAAATTCAAGACAATCTTGCCCCCACAGAGTCAAAAATAAAACAAGAAGCCGCAATTCACGGATCCTCCAAAATAGTTTCCTTATTTAGGTTAAGGGGACAATTAGCATAATACTCCTACTGACCTAGCTTACGCCTGCTCACGTTACTGAGATCGAGAGGTTTTTAAATTATTTCTGTTGAAACCTGGCAAAGCCATGCGTCATGCCAGTGCAGAGCCTCCTTTGGCGGCAGCCTTGCAGCAGGCGCACCTTTCTCAGTTCCAGGCTCCAGGAGGAATGAAGACCTTCCTCTCAGGCCCATTTACTTTATTCTGTTTTCATTCTATAATACAATATTTAAATCTATCCTGGAATCTAAGTTTTTAATAGGCAAATTAAGTCTATAAATGGAATTTTTAAGTTTTTTTTAATGCTTTTGAATATTTTCATTTCTGACCTCTAGGTGGCGACCACGCCAAGCCTTGTGACCAGCAGTGCAGCAACTACCCTTACAGTCAACCCAGTCCTCCCTCTAACCAGCGCTGCAGTAACCAACCTCTCTGTTACAGGTAACCACCTCTCTGTTACAGGTAACCACTTCTCTGTTAAAGGTAACCACTTCTCTCTTAAAGATAACCACTTCTCTGGTACAGGTCCCCACCTCTCAGTACAGATAACCACGTCTCTGGTACAGGTAACCACCTCTCTGGTACAGGTAACCACCTCTCTGGTATAGGTAACCACTTCTCTGGTATAGGTATGCGGCAGCCAGGCTGTGCAGTGGTGAGGCAGCTGGCAGCCATGAGAGGTTCCTGTGAGAATCTGCCATTAAGCTGTGAATTTCAGCTCTAGGATGTATTGTTTTTTTAAAGTTGCATGTGAAAACCTGACCTCCAAGAAAAATCAGGCACAATTAATTTTGTCAGGAATAATGCTTTCACAAAAGGATTTCATCTTTTTTGTTCTTTTTCACCTTACTCTGTCTTCTCTATTACTCCAAGGATTATCTCTCAAAACATAACACTTTTTCAAGTAGCCCCTCAAAAACCCTGACTAGCTATAACTTTTTGCATCAAGACAACATCAGATCAGATGCCCCTTCACTGTGTAGAAGGCGCTTTCCAGTGCGGCCCTGTCTCCACTGGTCGCCATCCGCCGTCCCCGGCCCAGAGGTGGGCCTGTGAGCGGGCGCAGCCTCAGAGCCGGCGGTGGCGGGGCTGCTCCGGGGTAGGTGCCCACTCCGCCTGGAAATGGTGTGAGCTCCCCGGCAGAGCTTTCCCCTGCCTGCGTCACAAATGACCATGGTTTTATAATTTATTCTCCCTTTGCCAAGAGACTTTGCACTTCTCAAAAGGCCTGGGTTTGTTTTTTTTTAATCTCTGGCTTGTTTAGTGCCTGACACATTCACTCTAAAATGAATGACTAAATTTTCCCCTGTGCCACCTTTGAATAGTAGATTTCTCAAATACACTTGAAATGAACTTGGTGTTGTCACCAGCAGTTCTTAGTGGCACGGTGTAGGAGGCATCCTGCGACTGTTTGCCGGGGTGGTGATGGTGTGAAGCCCTGGGCAGGCGTGTTCTGATGGCTCCCAGTGCAGCATGGACTCCGCCTCCAGGAGGGGAAATTGATTTTTCTGCGCTAATATTTTACTTCATCACACCTCTTTGGCTCTATGACCTAACCATGGCATGTAAAGTGAATACATGTTTTTATTCACATTTATTAAATTAAGGATGAACTTTGCCTTTTCCCTCTTTATCTGTCTGTAATCAGTATGAATTCAGACATTCTTTTATATCCAACAGGTTAGAATTGTATCACTATTTCAGGGTTAAATTCTTCCAGATTGGCTAGTGGGAGTCCCTTCAGCTGGCTCCTGTGCCCGTTAACATGCCCCTGTCCTTTACATGGTTCCTTATTTTTTGGCACAAGATGGTCAGGCTCATCTTCACGCTTCTGTGCCCAGGCCTGGAAACAGCCATTTCTCCAAGAATTCTAAGTTCCTGTTAGTGAGGAAAGGACTTTGGAACCAAAGTAGAGGCATTAGATACACTCACTGTTATGCATTGTTGCTTCTAGGACATCTCAATTGAAATAAGTGTGCACACAACTTGGGAATGTGTGTAAGATACACACGTGTGTACATTCATGTGTTCATCCACCCACCGGCACCATCCATTTTCACTAGCTGTTCACGTGTATTAAAGCCATGCATCCATACTGAGTCTCCGGTTCCAGCCCAATACTCTCTAGTTCGTTATTTTCTACGCTTAGGTTCTAAAGAGTTTGTTTTTGTGGCTCATGTCTCTAGACGCACTAATGAGGTTAGTAAAAGTGCCATTTTGAGGTGCTGGTTGGTAGAGTCATTGGTTAGTTCCTGGATTTGGCTGAACAGAGCCCCGCCTCCAGACTCCCACAGCTCCTTCCTAACACAGCCCTCTTTCCAGGCACTACAGACACCACCGCCAACAACACTGCAACCGTGATTTCCACCGCGCCTCCCGCCTCCTCGGCAGTCACGTCCCCCTCGCTGAGCCCCTCCCCGACTGCCTCAGCCTCCACTTCTGAGGCCTCGAGTGCTAGTGAGACCAGCACAACACAGACCACCTCCACTCCTCTGCCCTCTCCTCTCGGGACCAGCCAGGTGATGGTGACGGCGTCAGGGCTGCAAACAGCGGCCGCGGCCGCCCTCCAAGGAGCTGCACAGTTGCCGGCGAACGCCAGTCTCGCTGCCATGGCTGCCGCTGCAGGACTGAGCCCTGGCCTGATGGCGCCGTCTCAGTTCGCAGCTGGGTAAGGTCTTTCTCGTCTGTTCCCACCTGAGAGTCCACAAGGATGTCATCCCGGGGCTCACTCTGTGGGAGACTTTCCATCTTCATCTTCAACGCAAAATTCAAAGTTTAACTCTTTAAGCCTTAATGTCTTTGAAATGGGTTGCTCTATATCGGCTCAAGGACCTGATTATTGCAGATTTAGTGTCTGGACACCCTGGAAGGGCAGCAGTCAGGCCTTCATTTCCAGGGGAGCCACAAGCAGCTGGCGCTGGCCACGCCTCGGGGTTGGGGGCCATGGGGAGCCCACAGCTCCCGACTCTCGTTCTTGCTCGTTCCCTGCTGGCCGCTTCCTGCCTCTCAGTCATGCGCGGGGGCTGCAGCAGTAAGAATTGTTCTACAGGCCGTCCTCGGGTTACGTCGCACTTGACACACGTCGTTTCGTGATTACATTGCCGTCTCCCACTTATTTATTAAAAAAAAGTTCCATCATTTTGACGTATGTACATATGTGCTTTACGTTTTTTATTATTACCACAAATAATGGTCATGAATTGTTATCTTTCTTTTAAATTTTATATATTTATTTCTCTGGCGTTTTGTTTTGGGAAAAGAGAAGGAGATAACGCAAAGCAAGTTTCAATGATTATGAGTTGGACACTGTGCAGCCATAGTCTTGTTTGGATTGCACAGCGAGCTTCAGGGAAAGCAGCGCCTCAGAGGCTGCTGACTGTAGAGAGGACAAGAATTGGAGCTGCTGCCATCGCCTCCCCAGCTGGTGCGGGGATGTCATGTTGACCGCAGTGTCTGCTCTTTTCACTTGCAGAGGTGCCTTACTCAGTCTCAACCCAGGGACCCTGGGCAGTGCTCTCAGCCCAGCTCTGATGAGCAACAGCACACTGGCAACCATTCAAGGTCGGTACAGCTGCTTTCCTTACTTACCTCTTCTTCTTCTTTTTTTTTTTTTTAATGGAGGAAGTCTACTTTGCCAGAAGTCAGGGTGATGGGGAGACAGATGAATTGATAATGTTGACTAACTAAAGGACCAAAAAAAATGTCTTGTAAAAGAGCTTTGTAGAGAAGTATAGGTGTGGTTTGGGTGTTAGAATAGGAAATCTACTAGTTTGGTGTGTGAAATCAGAATTTTTATGCTGATATTGACCTCCTTATGTGTATAGACGTGGGGACAGACTTTATCTCTGACAAGTTTATTGACTTAGTCATCCAAGACCTACCCCAGGTACCCTGACCAAGTGAAAACCCCGTCCTCATCTTCACCCCAAGAGAGCACGGCTGAGCAGTCCCGTTGGAGCACATCGGGGACCCTGGGGCTCCCTTTGTTGTCCCCATCCTTATCTTTCCCACGGCCAGTGGGTCCCTTTGACCTTCGAGTGCTACCCAGTCTCAAGTGTGTCTGAATCCCAAAGGGATTACCGAAGGGTGTGCCTTATGTGGCTTCGGCTTGTCTGAAGATGCTTGAGGGACATCCCTGTATGATCAAAGAATGTTTTTTCTTACAATTAAAAATAGTTTGTGCTTAAGTGAGTTCTTGGGGCCAAAAATGAGTGGTTAGCCACTTGAGTAAAGGTGCTGTCAGGCGGGTGATTTTCCTCCAGTGTACGTACCACCGAAAGCACTGGTCCCCGACTTGGGCTGGACTGCCTGGCCTCCCACTGGCCTTTGCGCTGTGCAAAATCGGTGGTTAGCTCTGTGAAGCTTTTGTCAGCCAAGGACTCCTTTTTGGGATAAGACTGAAAAGCCACGTTCTCGGCAGCAGGTCTTTGGCTGGTAGTGATGCCGCAGAGGCGAAGTGCTTCTCCGGACACCGCAGGCGGGAACGGACCTCTGGGGAGATCTAGAACAGGTCCATGGCCCTACCCTGGAGCCTCAGAAAACTTCAGGCCACACCAGTGCCCCCGGTGCTCGTTGTGTGATGGTGTCCAAGTCAGTCCCTCCAGCTCTTTACAGGTTACGTAACGTGAGAAATCCCCCGAAGTCTGAAAGCCTAGAGAACCTTCCATCTGCATGTGGTTTATGGGTCAAGGAGGTACTGGGGCGTTGTCAGATGACGAAAATTTGATAGGTGAAATTGCCCACTTATTTTTTTAAATTCATTTCAAAGAGGGAGAGAGAGATAGAAACATCAGTGATGAGAGAGAATCACTGATCAACTGGAAAGAGCACATTAAACAGTCTGTGAAACCACTATTTTTCAGTTAAAAGTAGCCTAGAACTGTAAATGTGTGTCCTGCACACCCCTCTCAGGGGACCAGCCGATGCATACTTTTTTTAAAGAAAATCTTGCTGATGCCTTCATCACAGAAAGTTCTCAGGTGCTAGAGCGAGTCCGATCCACGATGGTCAAATGACCATCCCACATCTCTGCTCCCTCCTGGAATGCCCACCATGCTCCGCACAAGTTAGGAAGAGCATACTTGGTCACACCTTGCACTTTACTTGATAACCTAATTTTAGAACAAAAGCTTTTTAAAGATAGCTTTTCATCTTGTGTATCAGACTTTTCATAGCCAGTGGGTTGGTAAGAGCTGCCTGTATTTCAGTGCTGTGACCGCTGGAACAGGTTTGTCATTTGGAGAGAGCAGTTTGACATTGGCGATCTGCATTAGAAACAGTTGCTGGATTTACCTAACGCTGTCCGTAGGCACTGGAGTCAGGTGGAGCTCCGGTGCAGATGCGGCTTCGGTGGGTCAGACAGGCCTTACCCCCCTCCGCCCTGCTCATGCTCACTAGATCGTTCAGGTCAGCGGTTGCCAACCTGTGGGGTCTGAAAGGTTGGTGACTACTGCTTTAGGTCCTTCAAAATCATAATAAAACTTCAGGTGGGACAAGATGGCTCTCTGATTAAGAAAAACAGTCAGCGAAGGACCGGGCTTTGTAGCTGGTTGTGGGAGATTTGAGTCATCTGGTGGTCCTTGGCTTCTCCAGGATGTATTAACAGTCTCCTTCCCACCTTTTTGGGGGTTTGTCCATAGCTCTTGCTTCTAGTGGCTCTCTTCCAATAACATCACTGGATGCAACTGGGAACCTGGTGTTTGCCAATGCGGGAGGAGCCCCCAACATCGTGACCGCCCCTCTGTTCCTGAACCCCCAGAACCTCTCTCTGCTCACCAGCAACCCGGTTAGCCTGGTCTCTGCCGCCGCAGCCTCCACGGGGAACTCTGGGCCTGTCGCCAGCCTTCATGCCACCTCCACCTCCGCTGAGTCCATCCAGAACGCGCTCTTCACAGTGGCCTCCGCCAGTGGGGCTGCTTCCACCACCACCACCGCCTCCAAGGCGCAGTGAGTGCCGCCGCCTCTTCCAGCGCAGCGCCAGCGGGCAGCCCGCGGGCGACCGCAGGGGCCCTGGCTCCCTCTTGCCACGGTGTGAGGCAGAGGAGAAGAGAGCAGGAGAGACACGTGCCGGAAAGAAAGGATGGAGACCGGACATCATTTGCCTAATTTTATAATAAAACACTCTCTTTTCAGGATTGCTTCATGGATTGGACAACTTTCTAACCAAAATTAAAAAAAAAAAAACAAAAAAAAAAACAGAAACAAAATATCAAAAACAAACAAAAAATAAGTGAAAGGACTACTCATCATTTCCAGCGGTCACAGTGGCAGTCAAGGTGGGTTACCAATTCTAATATGGGTAGGAAGGGGATTTCTTGTTTGTCTAAAGTCCTTTTTTTCTTAAAAAAAATCATTTTTATGGGTCTGTTGTACAGGCCACTAAGTCATAACAAGGTGTTTATAATCGTATCAATTGTGTTGGGGGTTCCTTTCTTAACTGGTACAATTTAGGCAGGCCCGCGTTACTGTATCTGTTGTTGTTGTTGTCATGTTTTATATATATTTGGTTTGGTGTCTCGCTCCTGGATCCTGCTTCAGTGAGCTCCCACGGTGGGGAGGGGTCGGGAACTCCCGTCCTTCGCTGCGAATGTCCTTGCTGGGCTCCTTACCCTTGACACTCACAGAGGTCCTAGGAAATGGTTTTCTGTTGCCACTTATGCAAGAGGCTTGGTGCAGAAGCTGAGGGCAGCGTGCGCAGACGCTCCCACTCCACACGCCCCATCAGGTGGTGCCTTTGGAGCACTTTGTGTAGGAAGGAATTCCTGCTGGACTGTAGCTCTCACTCCGACCTTGAATGACCCGAGGCTGGGTCCCGGGGTGCGCCAGCACCGCTCCTTGCCTCCCATGGGGCCGTGCGTGTTGCAGGCGGGACTTGGCTCCGAGAGCAAAGACTACTGCAGACACCTGCCTGGGTGGTTCTCGTGACTCTGATCTCCTGAAAATGCTCCTATTGTTGCTGTGTGTGTGTGTATGTCTGTTCCATTGTGCGGAAGGTTTTCATCCGAACTTCCTTCAACTTAGCAAAGAACAAATTTACCTGTTGGGAATGGGATGTTTCCCTCCTGTTCTCTAAAGGAGCCCTGCTAGACTGCTCCCGTCGGTGACTGAACTCCAGCAGGGGGATGAGAAGAGTCTGAGGTTACACCTTCTCTAGCCAAGGCTTCCTTTCCTCCAGGTGGCTCTCACCCGCCACCCCAAGACCGGCCTTGTCCCCGGTGGGGAAGGCACACACCAGCTTCGTGGGTCTGAGAGCGTGAGGCCTGAGCAGGACCTGCATGCACCTCATCAGGTGTCTCCGGGCTGGTTAGTGATGCTCCTGGGAGTCAGGTCAGTGGCGGTGGTAGCTGTACTTGGGGAGGGAGGAGTTCCAGCATGTGTGCAGTGTTTCTGGACTGTGTAAATGAGCCCGAGAAGTAGTGAGGAACGAGGTGACTGGGAAATGGGATCCCCTTTTCGTTATGGTAGTATCTATACCGAACCCCTGGACTGATCCCTGCAAGTGCGCTCCTGCGCCCGCCGCCCGCCTGACTGAGGGCGAGGGCCGCCGCTGGCTGTCCCAGGTGCCTGCTGGCCTCGCTTCCCAGCTGCACTGCCCCTCCGAGCTCGTCTTCGTGCTCGGCTTGTGTGGAGGGAGCGTGGTTCTGTGGCTCACGTCTCCGCGGCTTCGGGAAAGGTCGTGCTTTTCTGTTTGTGGTCGTCCGGTGGGAGACAGGCACATTAATGTTAAAAGGCCAGAAACATTTCGTCCCCTCATTGATTTTTCTTTTGTTCCATCTGTCTTCCTGTTTTATTTCACAAAGTATTTAATTCCCACCCTTGGTGTTCTCTCCTCACCCTTCCCCTTCCCCAAAATCCCTCCAAAATCAGTGAACTGCAAGCAGGGAAACTAACAAATGTCCACCCACCTTTTTTATGTGTGGTGTTTTTTTATGTTGTTGTTTTTTTAACTAAGCTTGAACCAAAGTCAATTTTTAGCAAGCTGCTGTACTAAAGGACTAGTTTTATCGTGCGGTTCAGACACATTGAGGAGTTAGATGCTACTGACAATTTCTTTTTCATTGTCTTTAATAATTTTATATAAAAGTTGCTGCTTCTTTTAATCTTTTATGTTGATAAATTGTACTATCCTCTGGGCAGATATGAACTTGATTTTTAACTAGTTTATTTAGTTTGGTATGTAAATAGAATGGCAGTGTCGGTGACTAACTTTTCTCTCTGCCCCTCAAGTTCTCTGATGTAGTTAAATTTAGTCTTTTATTCTGACTTGATATCTCTAACTTTAGTCTGTGCTAATGATTGTAGGACTATCAATAATACTGCAGCTGCCATGGGGATGGGTAGTGCCCTGGGGAGTGGCTGGTGCCAGGCAAGATTCAGGGAGGTGAGTGCTGATACCCACCTTGCTGGGCTAGAGGCTATAGCATTAATTTCCCAAAATGACTACCAAAGCAAGCGACAAGTCCCAAGAACTCCAGCCCAGTGGCTAACAGCAAGGGCCAGGACAGACTGAGTTTGTTTGTTTCCCATGTGGCTCCAGAGATGCTCCCTCCCCCAGGTAAGACTCGCCAATAGATTTTAATGTGTAAAAGGATACTAAACGTTCAAGCCGGTGTGATGGTCTTCATTCCCAGCCCTGTCTGTATCCTCTGGTTCAGTTTAGGATAAGGGAATTTTGCCTGGGGATCACTTTATATTAAACCAGCATAAAAACCTGTATTTAAAAGAAATAAATCTTTAGACAAGTAAAAACAGCTTGCGAAATGAAAGGTACATTTACATATGTACGAGAAACACTAAAACAGCTTGCTGGTTGGGTAGCTTAACTAGACCCCAGGCCCCATCCCTAGGAACCCCGCTGACCATACTGCTTCGGGCACAGCCTGCAGTCCTTTGTCATCTTTATCATCCCCAGAGATACTTTTGAGTTGGGAGTCTCTGGAGCTGGGTACTCAGATGTAGCTAGCAGACTCCTGTGTGGGAGTCTGGAATTAAGAGGGGCAATTGATCAAAAAGAGGTGCTGGGTCGAGTTCCTGCATTTCTAAGGGGAAGGGCCAGACAGGTCTTCCCGACTCATTGTGTCAGTCTTCTTTTTCCCTTAATGTTTATGCAAGTTTTACTTCACCCCTGAATTTGCTTAACACATTAAACCAAAGACTAATTCTAATGCATTGCAATTAGTGTGTACTAATTTGCCTATGGCGATGGGCCCTTCCGAGGGAGTGGTGAGTGTAACTGTTGGAACCCTACTCATTGCAAGCAGTGCAGTTTGATCGTGAACTTGATGTGTGCCCTGTGTAAATCTGGGGGACAAAGCAGAAAGGCCTAGAAAAAGGGCTTCTCACAGGAACCCTGTTGTTGTCCCTGATTGAAGAAATAGGTTGAGTACTATTTTAGTTTAAATGTTTCTGAAGGTATGGAGGCAGCTCTGGAGAATTATGTAAATAGTGCAGTCCATTATGTGATGTCACACACTTCCTGTATTTGTTTGATAAGGAAGATCAATACCGTCCCCATTCTTGTCAGAGAGATGGGACCATAGGACTGGCTACTGTTCTGTGTAGGACCACACCTGTTTGTACTTCATGGCAGAGTATTAGAGGGTTTTTTTTTTAGAAAGGAAAATAAGATTAGTTAAAAGGCTTTTAGTGAGATTTTTTTTTAAACCATTTGTTCCACATAATTCTTTCATTTTTGGGGGGGAAAGCACAATTATACCTCTTTTATTTTTAATGTTATTTTGTCCTATTATCTTTCATTTATTTGCGAAAGTAGGGGAACCTTGTCTCCGTTATCCAGAAGCACAGATATTTGCTTGACACAATATTTAAATTCAGCCCAATCTTTACCATTAAATTTTGTATTTAAATTACTACATTTACAAATATGGGAGCTTAATGTCAACTTTTATCATTATAAATCATAATAGTAAACATTGCAATTAGTCTGTACTAAACATGTGGCTTACAGGAGACACTCATTGTAGTTCATAGTCTAAAGTTGTTCCCAAGCCACGTCCTCCTAACAAAACTTTCTTCGCGGAGAAAAAAGTAAAATCGGTGAGACAGGAAGAAAAGAGGGCAGTGTTACAGGAGAGGCAGGGCCAGGCCACCTGGCTGGGCGAGCAGTGGGGCCTGGCACCCCCGCGCCACTTGTGAGCCTTCAGTTACAGATAGCCCGGCATGTTTATCAGAGCTGAAAACTTTAAAAGACCAAAGATCTGGAATTTCAACTTATTCCAATGGGATGAATTGGTGGGTTAATTTGGTCACAAGCAATTATGAGTCTGCTGGCCCTGGCCTTTGTGGGGCCCTTTTCAGTCTCGGACGTTGTGAGGATAACACTGTAAAGTGGTAAGTCTTCCCCAGCAGCCCCTGCTTGGAGAATGAGGAAACCCTCCTGAACCAGGAATCGCTAAGGCAGCTTTCGGAGGTGGCGTGCACCCGGGGGCGTGGACAGGGCAAGGCCGAGGCAGGTCCCGTTCTGCTCATTCTTTCTTACTCCAGAGAGTGAATGGGACGCGAGACTCCCAGGGAGAGAGTGGGAGGCTCGGAGGGCAGGGCTTTTGTGAGTTGTTCAGATGTCCACGTGGTCCGGGAGCTGCTGCTGCTCCGACCAGCCTCACGGTGAGCAGGCCGTCCTGACTCTGCCTCGGCTTGGCCCAGCGCAGGAGCCATGGGTGCTGTGCGACTGGAACCTGGATCTCCTTTGCTCCCTTCTCCCTTTGAATGGCGACACCTTAATCCGTGAGGGTAATGCTGGAGGGTTACGGTGGCTACTAGCCCCTTCATGAAATACCTCAGTGTAGTTTAGCGTTGTTGCAGAGCTGGTTTTAAACTAAAAACCAAATAAATAAAAAGAAAAACTTTATAAATATGGAAATAATTCTAGCTGTAGCATTTAGTTAACTGATGTTTATTAAGATTGATAAACATGATTAATGCTGTATGTGTTGGGATCCTGTTTATAGGTTACAGTTTATAGGGTTGGAGGGGGGTGGGGTGGGGACGAGGAGAAGGTGACTGTGTTAGAAGGATCGTTGCTCGTGTGTGTTTGTTTTTCCTTCTCTCTCTCTTACCAAAGGAAACCTGATTGTCCCTGGGACTGGGCTTGGGGTTTGTTGGCCTCTCTGTGGTCTGACCTGCTGGGCAGTGTGTGGAGCATGCAGGTGGCACATGGGTTCAAGGTCCCCTTAGGCATTGACATCCCTTGCTAAGGCTGCCTGTGCCCCCGATCAACCCTGCCAGCCTCTCCCAACGGCTCTTACCTCTGTGCGTAGGCGAAGGATGGCTGTGGGGTGCCGGGTAGAGGTGGCAGAAGTGCCCTGTCCACGTTGAGAGCAGAGCAGAGTGCGTGCGTGGGCCTGGTGACCTGGGCAGGGGAGCGTGAGCAGCCCTGCTTGTCACCTGGGCATGCTGGACGTGCTGGTAGCACACACTCTCGGACCAAGGTGACTTCTGTCCAGACCAAAAATGCAAAAGAAGTTGACAGCTGTCCTGCTTGCCTCACACCTCGGTGGCGTGAGGCCGCTGGGGGCTGGCTGGCTGGTGAGATTGAGGAGTTCCTGTGGGCACGTTGGGGAGAGGGCTGCGCCTTTCTGGTCGTACTGGGGCCGGCTTTCCTGGGCCCCTGAGTCCAGAATGGGCACTTCTCCGTAAAGGCTGTTTTCCATGAATGCCTGTATCATGAAACGTTAGTGGGATCCGGTTTGGATACCAAAGACACTGTTCCGGCCTTGCTTATCCTGTTTTAGCCGGCAGAGGGACTGGGAACAAAAAGCTGGAATTCGGGAAAGCTTCCCCTCCGTCCCTCCCACTTCCTTCGGCGGGCCTGTTGGTCGCCGGCTGTGGAAGAGACTCCTTTAGTCCCATCGCTGGTCTGTGGGGCGGATGGGCCACTCGGTGTCGCCGTGACATTCTTGGAATCTCTGAGGGCTTGGGGGCTGGGGGGAAGGGGGTAGGGTTCTTTCTTTCCCTTCGTCTAACACCTGTAGCGCCCATGCAGCTGAGCTCAGGTGAGTGAGAGGTGCTGGCACTGTCCCGCCGCTTGTAGGAGAGAGCGTTTTCAGGAGCAGGTGACGTGGAGAACCGAGACCTTCCTTGAAGCTCTGCCCATGGCGCCCGTGTCGTGTCGTTCCCAGATGTTCGCACACATGAGCTCCTGGGGCTCACTGTTCGGGGTTCTGTTGATGACCCAGAAAGGGAGGAAGGGCAGGAAGTGTATTGCTCTCTCACTATTGCATCAGAAACTGCCGGGTGCTGGGCTTCTGGCAGTGGTGCTGACAGGATGTGACAGTGTCAGCCTTGGCTTCACAGAGCGCTAGATGGCAGGGCCTGGGCGCTGAAGGGAGAGCACTCGAAACAGAGGCTGTGGGATCAATGTTATGGACACCCCTTTGAGTGCAGAATGGGACTCCCTGGGGCAGGCAGGGTCCCTGAGTCTGCCCACTCGGCCAGGGCTCCATCACCATCAGATAGGTCAGACCCCAAAACTAGTTTCCTGTAGAAAACATCGTGGTCTGCTGCAAAGCCCCTGGGTGTTCTTAGTTCCTTGCTCACTGCTGTGCTCATGGCCACCCAGCAGCCGAAGGCTTTCTTCAGACCCTGCAGGCAGCTGGCTGGACACAGTGCTGTTAATGAGGATTCCAGATGCTTCTGTGCAGTCGGGCCTCCTTGGAGGGAAGGACAGAACCAGGCAGAGACGCCCTGTGCTCCCACCTCTCTTAAGTGGGAGCTGCGGACAGGAAATGTCAGAAGCTCCAGACAGTGTAGCCAGGTCAGTGACCTGCCCAGGCTTAGTGGGCCGCCCGGTGCCACCTGCTGTGTGAGCATGAGTTCTGCGGCCGGATTGGAACTGGCCGTTCTGCAATATAAGCCTGTCCCGAGGCCAGGTCTGGGAGACAGACGGGCTTCCAGCTTCTGACCTCCGCTCGAGCGGGGCTGTGCGGGCCTGTGCGCACCGCTGGCGCGAGAGGCCCGCTCTCTGCGGAGACGCCCCTCCCACCACAGGTCGCCCACCTGCCCCTTCCTCTGGTGGCTATAGGCGAGGCCAGTAAGCAAGGGCCTCCCGCCGCAGCCAGGGCGTCCTATACCTCACTCTTTCGTGACTGAGTAACTTGCTTTAACTTCCTCTAAACCTTACAGAGTTGCCAAGTCTGCCCTCCCTCCCGTGAGTCATGCCGAGCTCTGGCCTATAGCATCGCAGGATCTGGGGCCGGGGTGGGCCCACCTAGCGCCTCTGAATGTCGCTGCTTGAAAGCTACTGCAAGAGAGGGCAAATTGCAATCTTCTGTTTCTTTTGTTGCAAGAGGTCTTCACAGGTGAGGGGCCCACTCCCCCCACCTGCCTTTAGGGGCTGGCCAGCTGTCAGCCCCTTCCCCACCTTTCCGACTGCTGGCCACACGCCAACGCTGTCCTTGCCTTTCCCTGGCGGAGGAGGCCCCCTTCCCTCCAGGCCTCGGCTCCGCTGGCTTCGGGACTTTGGGTGGAAGGGAAAACACCAAAGAGGCCCCTTTGCGCTGACTGCTGCACACACATTTCACTTTTGTTCTCTGACATGACCAAAAAATCCAAATATTTAAGTTATTATTATTATTAGTTGACAATCTTACGTCCCATGTCCCGTGGGCTCTCAGAAGCTGCCCCCAACCCGTTTCCTTTTCTTTGAATGTAGTTCCATCCAGCCTCAGTCCCCACTCCGCCCGGGAGCTCCGCCAGGTCTTCCTCTGCGATACGCCAGGGAGGGTGGTTTCTTTGTTTGGTTTTGTTTTGCTTTTTAAATTTCCAACCAAAACCAAAGATTTCTTAGTGATTGTATAAACTCAAAACAAACAAAAAACCAAAGAAAAGGGCAGTCTTCAGCGCGACCCAGTCTGTGGCGTCCTGGCTGGCAGAGCACGCCGGGCGGTGGGGCTCCGGCCGCGGAGGGCAGGCCGTGCCTTCCGCGTGGGCTGCCCCGGGGCGCTGGGCCTGGAGCCCGGCCCTGCCGCTGTGAGCGCACCGGGGAGCGCGGAGGCGGCAGATTCTTCAGAACAGCGGACAGACCCACCGCCACGCCAGTCCGCCCACAGCGCCACGGCCCGGCCAGGCGGGGCTGAGCCCAGGACTCCACAGAGTGGGGAGCTGAGGACCCTGGCGCAGGACTGGCTGCTCTGCTGGGTGCTAGCCTCTGGGCCGCGCTGAGCACGCCCGGCCCTTGGGAGCCTTCTTTCCCTTTTTCTTTCCCGGGGCTGCGGGAAGCCGCTGTCCCTCCCCCGCGGAGCGTGCAGAGCGCTGTGACCTCCCACTCCCGCTGTGGCTGTCCCCTCCCGCGGCTGCAACTATGCATCGTGTCTCCCCCGTGCTAGGTAGATGCCTGTGACTTTTTACCGGGGGGCGGGGTTGCAAATGAAGGAACTTTTTACACGGATCTTTTTAATCTCAGCTTGGGGGGGTGGGGTGGGGAGGGTCCTAGGGTCATACAAGCTCTATCCCAAAGCAAAACCCAAATGTTAGTAACCTTAGGCTGACGCAGATACCAAAGAGAATCCGCCCTGCACCACAGACTGCGGAGTGCGGCACCGCGCCCGCGTTCGTCTAACCTCAGCAGTTCCAAAGCGTAGATGTATATTTTGGTATATTTCTGGGATATTAAAAAAAATGTTGTTTAACTTCTCGTTTGTTTCCGTGTAAAGTCATAGCATGAAAATAACTGAACTGTCCTATTCTTAGTAGTTTGAAATAATAGTATTTTTGTATGTTCGGGTGTGTCTCTGTATGTATTGACATCAGTTTTCACTGCCTCGGAGTTCCTAATAAAAGAAATGAAATGCTCTGGTGTACGTGCTGTCCAATAGTGAGCGCCCACCGTTCCTTCGGAGTGCTTTTCGCTGGTGACCCGCCCTCTGGGGCTTTGTTTTCTTTTAAAGAGACAGCAATCGTGTTTTTCTAAAGATGGTTTCTTTCTCTCTGTCTTAACTCCCTCACCTTCTTTTCTTTTCTTTTTTTTAAATATTGATTCAGGGGTGTTTTTCCACTGTTGTCCAGGGAGGGACACGAGGGGAAATTGGCCCCTTGGCCTCCCACACATTTTTGTTTTATGTGCCTAACTTTAAAATGTGAGTTTGAGTTCTCTTTTGTGGAAACTTAAGATGTGGTGTATGATTCTTTCCAACATGGCCCCGCAGCTCTACGAGGCAGCGGCCACTCCTGGGGAGCCACGGGACCTCTTCCGCGTCTCTGGCAGCTTTGCGATCTGGGTGGCTATTGTGTAGCCCCACTGCCCCAGACGCTGGGTAGCCAGCCCCCCAGGGATAGTCCATAAGAATCAGCTGATAACATGGCATGGGGACCTTGTTTTCCGGGCTCCGGGGAACAAGCGACTATGCATTTGGGGGGATTCGCTGATGCCTCCCGAGGCCCGAGGAGTCAGGGGACGTAAGTGGTGCTGTCTCCTTACAAGTGCCCTTCCTGTGACCCTCCTGGGCCGCCCGCGGGCTGTGGGCTTGGGAGAGGCTGTGTGGGTGGCTGAGTCAGAAGGAAATGCTAGGTTTTGTGTAGATGCATTTGTCTGCTGTAACTTTTTATATATATATTAAACTTAACTGTAAGTGTACAGTTCATTTCTGTTGTAAAACATCATTAAACCATTTTTCCAAGTGTGTTTGCATTGTCTGAGTTTCTCTGATGGGGTCATGTTGGTGTCTGAGTGCTTCACACAAATGCCCACCCAGATGGCTTACAGCCCTGCCCGTCACCCCGAGCCGGGCCGGGCACAGGGTCTGCCGGCCTCCTGGCCAGGCTTGGGGTGGCAGATAGGTGTCGGCCGCAGTGGCCTCCAGGCTGCGGGGCTTGCTACCATCAAACACGCAGGCTCCTCAAAGACTCCCATTTCACTGTGGACTTGACTGCAGAGCTGACACTGAACCTGACTTTTCTAGATTCATCAACTAAACTGCCCTGCACACAGGTCCCCTGGGCCCCTCGGGAGGAAGCCGATCCTGACTCTGGCCCTGCTCTCCTGTCAGAGGCGCCCCTTCTCCCCTGAAAGGGAACCTTGAACCTGAACGCGATTTCTTTTGGGGAAATCAGCCCCCTGAGGAGCTCTGGGCGGCACTGCCTCTGCAGGTGCCCGGCTGGCGGCTGGCGTGGGGGTGGAAGGAGCCCTCCTCCCAGGCTGCCACCCGCTGAGCCCAGTGCGGAGGCGTGGCCTCGGCCTGCTGCTCACACTGCTCAGGCTTCTCCCGCTTCTTGCATTTAAGTTGGTGAAGTTATTTCCTTAAAACAATTTCACGTTTTTAACAGGAATCCCATTTGGCAGAGAGAGTGTGCGCTCACCAGCGTGAGAAAGGCCTTAGAAGGCCAAGCCCACTGCTCAGTCCTAGGGGGTGAGGAAAAGTGCCGGTCCCTCTGTTTCCCCGTCCTTTGTACGCGGTTGGGACTGCCCTGCCAGGTCCCCGTGGTTAGATCCTTGCCTGGTGCACCGAAGAGGCACGGTTCAACTCCTCCTCAAGGGCACACACCTGGGCTGCAGGTTCATCCCTACCCCTGGTCGGGCGCATGCAGGAGGCAAGCAATCAATGTCTTCCTCTCTCCCTCCCTTCCGCTCTCCAAAAATCAATGGGAAGAAATCCTCAGGTGAGGATTAACAAAAATCAACAGAAGGTGGGTATGTTCTAACCCACTTCGAGTGGCATGAGGGACTCGCCAGTGAGAGCTGAATACTCTGCCACCTTTTTTCTCCAAAGTCCAGGGCGGCTCTCACTGGGGCTCCGTCTGTTAGCAGCTCAGTCCTCCCAGCCTGCCGCCCGCGCTGTGTGGTCATCCTGTATGTGCACACGTGCATACACACACACACACACACCCGCCCAGATGTCAGCTCCAGAGCTCAGCCAGCTCGCTCCCGGCCTCCACTCACATTCTTTCTTTTTTCTTTTTTAATGTATTTTATTAATATTGTACAGAGAGGAAGGGAGAGAGAGAGTTAGAAACATCTTTGAGAGAGAGTCATCGATCAGCTGCCTCTTGCACACCCCGCACTGGAGATATGCCTGCAACCAAGGTACATGCCCTTGACCGGAATCGAGCCCGGGACCTTTCTGTCCCCAAGCCGACGCTCTATCCATTGAGCCAAACCGGTTTCGGCTCCACTCACATTCTTGACGCAATGGGTCAAAGGCTGTGCCAGGCCAGCCGTGGGTCACATAACTCAGCCACCTTGAGCCTAGTGTGGGTGCGTGCGCTCGCTTTGCCTGGTGATGGCCAGCATCGGCCTCTGAAGGCTGAGCGGGGGTTGCAGCCGCAGCCAAGCCTGAGCGGTGGCAAAGGCAGCGAAGTGGCGCCGGGTCTTCCCGGCCCCGGCCTGGTGCCTCGACCAGCGGACAGCCTGGCCCTCGGGCGCTCCTTCCACGTCCAGGCTCCTCCGTCCGCGCCGGCTGGCCGCACACCTGCCATGCCCACGCCCTGACCCTGCAGACAACGTGGCTGGAACCGGGGCCAAATGGGAATCCCCAACTGGGACCACTCCCTGCTCTTCTCCTCCCTGGTGCCTACCACCCGCTGGGCACAGAGGGGCTGCTGCCGGCATGTTGGCCGCAGGAGGTGGGTTCCCGGCTTCCAGGTGAGGGGCAGGGCACCTTCCCTGTGTCAGAGGTGCCTGGCATTCCTGTCTGGGTCCCTGAGGCTCTGGCTTTAGCAGCTGTGGCCCGAACTTTGCTTTTAAACAAGTGAAGGTATTGATTCCAGAGCCTTGGCCCCATAGAAATGGGTGGATTGATGTTTCCAGTCACCTTTTGTGAGGGAGATTGACATCGAGTCCTCTGTTGTCCTCCTCCCCGAACCCCGTGGCATCAGTACAAATGGGTCCCAGACTCCCTCCGCTGCACGTGCTGCCCGGCCCAGGGCCTGGGGCCGAGAGCCGGGCCTTCTCCTGCTCATCCCCCTCACCCAGGTCAGAGCCGCGCTGAGCCCTGCCCTCAGGCCCTTCCCTTCACTCTCTGTCCCACGCCGCCCGCCCGTCCCTCTGCATTCACCTCACACTGCACCCATGTCAGGCCCCGTCCACCACAGCCTCCTGGGCCCTGGGCACCAATGCCCCATGCTCCCGGAGAGGGCAGCAGGCTGGTTCCCTGAGACTAAGTGCCCATCAAGGACCTGGGTGTTGAAATAAAGCTCCGCCTAAAGCACTGTTGTCACTGAAGCGTTTATTATGCAAAGAGCAAGGCGTTAGCAAACCAGCAAGAAGGAAGCCCAGCGGGGAGAGGCTCCTTCCAGGCCCCTGTCTTGTGGGCTCTGCAGGCCCCGGTGGCCTGGGGCCTTCCTGCGAGGCCTTCACGTGAGGGGTTTGTCCTGAGTTCAGTGTGGCATGAGCAGGTGCCAGGGAGCCACGGCCTTCCCCGCTCGGGCGCCCGCCTCGGCTCCCCACACGCCTCCTGAAGGATGTGGGCTCTCGAAGGCACAGGCGTGTCCATCTCTCAGGCCCCGTGTCCGGCTCCTGGACACCAGGGCAAGGGGCGCCGGCCGAGGGAGCCTTCCAGGCAGCCCGAACCCAGCCCCTCCGTCCGCAGGGCTCTGCCGGGACCTCCTGGGCCCAGGGACGGCTGCCGAGCGGTGAGGGACGGCTGACAACAGAAGCCAAAGGTACAGCAGGAGCCAAGCCGCTCAGGTGCCCACAGCACAGACCGCCGGACGGCGCTGGCGTGGGGGCTCCTTTGGGACGTGACAAAACAGACTAACCAGCTGGGCTGTGAGGGGTGTGCGGCCCCAGGTCCGAGCCACGGTGCCCGGGCCCCCGGCAGGCAGAGGCGAGGACTGGACAGGCTCCGGGACAGGCCAGGACGCACACCCTCACGTGCGAAGTGACGCTGAATGGAGGCTGGGGGCGGGAGGGGACCGCTGTGACACACGAGTGTCCTGCGTGACAGAGGACTGGGGGACGGGAGCGAACTGTACATGCTTTTTCCTGGGTCGTTTACAATCTGGGCGTCTGTGGGTCTGTCTCCCTGTGGGTGGTGGTCCGGGCTGCTAGCGAGGGGGCAGTGTTTGCATGTGGAGGGCGTCGTAGGTGTCTTTGGTGGCCGCACTGAGCCCCTGGTGAGGGAGGAGGAGAAGATGGGTCAGAAGCCGCAACTGCCCGCCTGGGCACCTGCCTGCCGGAGCCCGGCCTATGCCCCCACCGGCCTCCAGAGGCCCAGGAACCGCCCCTCCTGCCCGTGGGAGAGGGCGCTGTCCCTGCCGGGTGTGGCCTGGGGCTCCTTTCCTGAAAGCTGTCCCGCCCCTGGCAGCACTGTGAACAGCCAGCCTCCTGTCCTCACAGCCTGTCTCCGGGGAACAGCTCTCCCGCCCACCACTGTGGCCCACCCTCCCTCCGGGCCCTGGGGCATCACCTGGACCCGCCTGGCAGGTGGGCGAGTGGAGGAGGAGCCGGCGGGGAGGCCCTGGGCTTTGCACACTTATCCCCGTGATTCCAAAAGCCAGGCTGCTGACTGCAGCACTTCCGTCCCAAACTGTGACTTCCCTTCATCTTTCCCCTCGGCCCCCCATTCCTGCCAGCTCACTGGTGTGCCAGCGAGGCGGCCGAGGCGGCTGCCGGGCCCAGCGTGGAGGAGCGGCTCCTGTGCGGGCACCAGTGCCCGGGCCGCGCCTGGCGGGTGGGAACCCGGGCGTGCGCCCGATGGCTGGCCGGCCCCGCGGCAGGACGGGCTCGCCTGCCCAGGTGTTGGCAGGAGCAGGGAGCTGGCCGGCCTCTGAGGCGGCGCCGGGGGGAGGGCACCGCGGCCGAGAGGGCAGCGCACTGACCTGGTAAAGGCCGTCGGGCCCCTTGCCTCTGCGACGCTGGTTCTGTGGGAGACAGGAGGGCGGGTCAGGCAGGCCTCGGGGTCCTGCCCGCTCCGGCCGGGCCACGGGCAGGCCTGGCCTCTGCGGGGGAGGCCGTGTGCTCTGCCGCGGAGCCACAGATGCCTGCGGCCGGAGGAAGGGCCCCGGGCGGCTGCGAGCGCGGCAGGGCGGCTCCGGCTCCATTCTCAGTCTCTGGGACAGGCCCCGCGGTCCCTCTGACACCTTCGGCACTGTCGCTGACGGTGACAGGCTGGCACGCTCTGGCAGAGCGCTGGCTGCCCTGGGATCGGCTGGTTTAATCCCCAGAGAGCATCGGCCCTTCGTCCGCGTCTTCTGTGCAGCCGATGGGCGGAGCGGGGTGACCTCCCCTCTGCGGCCACCACGGGGCTTTTGCAGGTGGTGAGGACAGAGGACGGAGGCCCCGGCAGGCGCAAGGGCAAGACCGAGAGGGCCTTCTTGGGAGCCCCCTGCCCCCCCCCCCACCTCCCAAATCCCCCCCCCGCTCCCCCCCCTTACCCCCCGCCCAGCACTCACCTCGCCTTTCATCCCGATCTCGCTGTAGGCCTCCGCCATCTTCTCCCTCTGCAGGGCCTGGAGGGGCAGAGGGCATGGCTCACTGGCTGAGGCGGAAGCATGCGCCACCCTCCCTCCCGCAGCCCTGGGGGCTCCCTTGGAGGAGCTCCGCCCAGCTGGGAGGGTGGGGAGGCTCAGGGGGGAGGGGGAGGCTCAGGGGGGAGGGGGAAGCTCAGGGGGGAGGGGGAAGCTCAGGGGGGAGGGGGAGGCTCAGGAGGGTGGGGAGGCTCAGGGGGGTGGGGGAGGCTCAGGAGGGTGGGGAGGCTCAGGGGGGAGGGGGAGGCTCAGGGGGGAGGGGGAGGCTCAGGGGGGTGGGGAGGCTCAGGGAGATGGGGAGGCTCAGGGAGGTGGGGAGGCTCAGGGAGGTGGGGAGGCTCAGGGGGGTGGGGGAGGCTCAGGGTGGTGGGGAGGCTCAGGAGGGTGGGGGAGGCTCAGGAGGGTGGGGAGGCTCAGGAGGGTGGGGAGGCTCAGGGGGGTGGGGAGGCTCAGGGGGGTGGGGGAGGCTCAGGGAGGTGGGGAGGCTCAGGAGGGTGGGGAGGCTAAGGAGGGTGGGGGAGGCTCAGGAGGGTGGGGGAAGCTCAGGAGGGTGGGGAGGCTCAGGAGGGTGGGGGAGGCTCAGGAGGGTGGGGGAGGGTCAGGGAGGTGGGGGAGGCTCAGGAGGGTGGGGGAGGGTCAGGGGGGTGGGGAGGCTCAGGGGGGTGGGGAGGCTCAGGAGGGTGGGGAGGCTCAGGAGGGTGGGGAGGCTCAGGGAGGTGGGGAGGCTCAGGAAGGTGGGGAGGCTCCAGGAGGTGGGAGCGATATTCCAGCTGAAGGCACCCACCAGGACGGCGCAGGCTCCCCGGGGCCCCGGGATCATGTGGGTGAGCAAATTGTCACCCCGCCTGGCAGACCCACACCAACGCCAGACCCACCGCGACGGCGAGGTCAGCCAGTCCGTGGGGTGAGGCCAGGAGGCTCCCGCCCCGGGAGGTGCCCCCTGGAGGCCCCGGCCCACCAGGACCCAGCGCCCGGCTTCCTGCCGCCTGGGGGGCCGGAGGCCCCTCCCCAGCCCTCCTCGCCCACTGCCTACTCACGTTGTACAGGCCCTCCTGGGGGTTCTTCCTCCTCTGCGGGGGAGAGGGGGTCAGAGCGGGCAGCAGCCCCAGGGCACCCCGTCACCCCCCTCAGCCTGGCAGCTGGCGGGGGGACGGCCCTCTCACACTGACACACACACACACACACACGCTGACACACACACTCTGACACACACATACACTGACACACACACACACACGCTGACACACACACTCTGACACACATACACACGCTGACACACATACACACTCTGACACACACATGCTGACACACACATACACATTCTGACACACACATGCTGACACACACTGACACACATACACACGCTGACACACACATACACACTCTGACACACACATACACTCTGACACACATACACACTCTGACACACATACACACTATGACACACACATACACACTATGACACACACTATGACACACATACACACATATACATGCTGACACACATACACAGGCTGACACACATATACACTGACACACATGCACACGCTGACGCACAATACACACTATGACACATACACATATATACATGCTGACACATACACACGCTGACACACATATACACACTGACACACATGCACACATTGACATACACATACCCACACTGACACACGTGCACACACGGACACACACGCACACACTCCCCGGCCACAAGCTGGCACGTGGGGTTCTGCCGAAGAGGGAAGTCGTCCGGAGCGTGGCAGCTGCTGCTCGGCCAGCCCCACTGCCCTCCCGCCGCCCAGCCCGCTCTCCGGGGAGGAGGGGCGGCTGAGGGGTCTCCCCATTCATTCCAGCGCCCATGGAGCTCAGGGGCCTGGGGGCTGCATGCACGGCTGGGGCTGACAGGTCCAGGGCCACAGGCGGCGTCAGGCAGCTGGCAGCCATGCTCACAGGCTCCCCAGGACCCAGGGCCCGGGGCCCTCCTGCGGGGCCCCCTCCGTCCTCCTGGGCAGGCAGCACCCCTGGGAGCACCTCAGGGCGCCCCGGACCACGGCCAGAGGGAGGGAGGGGCCGAAGGACACGTCTCCGTCTGTCCTCCGGCCCCACGAGGTGGGAGAGGGCAGCGGGGAGTGTGGTGTGCGGCTCTGCAGGGCCCTCCTCCACCCGGGCCCCCTCACACTCAGCTCACACTCACACACACACATTCTCACACACTCTTATACACACACACTCTGACACGCACACACTCACATGCACACTCACACTGACCCACACACTCTGACACATTCTCACACACACTTGTTCACACTGACCCACCTAATCTGACACATTTTCACACACACTCTTATACACACACACTCTGACACACACACATACACACACACATATACACTCACATTGACACACATACACCCACATACAGTGGCAGTATATATCAACGTGCATATACATACTGACATACACATTGACACACACAGAGACACATTCTGACACATTCTCATACACACACTGACACACACACTGACACACACACACTGATCCACACACTCTGACACACTCACACACACACTCACACACACACACACACACACTGACCCACACACTCTGACACATGCTCACACTCTCTCTCTCACACACACACACACACCCTGACATACACACTCTGACACACTCACACACACACTGACCCACACACTCTGACACACTCACACACACACACACACACACACTGACCCACACACTCTGACACACTCACACACACACTGACCCACACACTCTGACACATTCTCACACTCTCTCACACTCACACACACACACACACACACACACTCTGACACATTCTCACACACTGACACACACACACTGACACACACACTCTGACACATTCTCACACACACACACACACACACTGATCCACACACTCTGACACACTCACACACACACACACACACACACACACACACTCACTCACAGGCAGAAAGAGGAATGCCCACCTGTTTCCCGCCCATCTCCGGGTCCCGGCCACGCCTCTTGTCCAGAAGGTCGTACTCCTCTCTCCTCCCCAGGTTGAGCTCCTGAAAGGGAAGGGTCAGAGGCGGTGGCCCCAGCTCTCGGGGGAGCGGGGCTGGGCGGGCGGTGACGGGCCCCCGGGTGCCAGCGTCTCAGAGCACGTGCGGGCGTGACCACGGCAGGGGCAGCGATCAATGTGACTGAAGCCCGATGCCCAGGAGTGCTGCCCAGTGAGGGTCCTCCCATTCCCATGCCACCTCCACCCTGACCCCACCAGCCTCCACCCCTCCTCACCCCCTCCCGACCTCTGCCCCCACCTCCTCCCAGCCCAGCCTGTATCTGAGCTCCAGCCAGTGTGCTGAGCAGGCGCTGTCCAGGCACCCAATCCTGACTGTGGGTTTGTACCAGGAGGAACCCAAGCCGGTGGCCGGCGGTGCAGCCTCGCGGGCTGCGGGGGGCGGAGGGGGGAGGGTGACTCACGTTGTAGACCTGGCTGGGGCCCTGCATTTGCTCCGGGCTGTCCGCGCTCCGGCCGAACTGGAGGGAGAGCAGAGCGTGAGCGCCCGGCCCCACCACCCGCAGGTCACTGCCCCCAGCGAGCGCCGTCTGTCCGCCCTGGACTGTCCGCCTCCGGGGCCCTGCAGCCGTGCCGGCGGGCAGGCGGCGTCAGGGCGAGGCCACCCCAGGCCCTGCCCCCACACGGAGGGCACCCGCCTGACGGTGCGCCTGGCCCCGGGCGGCCTGGCTCGGATTGGCGTCCTGAGGCCCCACCAGTGCACAGCCGCCTCCTGCCCGCCTGCAGCAGCCGGAGCCCGGCCCCGGGCAGAGCCGGCACCACCGGACGGCACGGCGGCTGTTCGACGGAACCTCAGATAGAGCTCCGAACAGCCGAGGCGGGTGCTGCGGAGAGCAAGGTGCAGCCCCCTCCTTCTCGCCCTCCCTCCCACCCTCAGGGCCACCCCCTCCCCCCCAGCTTCCCTTCGAGAAAGCCAGGCCCTGCAAGGGCCGTGGACACCCTGCTCTGGGCCCCTTCCCACTTCCTGCCGGGCCTGCACCAGCCGCTGGACAGGGACCTGGGGAGACCTCAGGGCCCCCCTCTCCGCTCCCACTGCCGGAAGCATCCGGCCATTTCCTGCCAGTGACACCCCCCCCACACACACACACCCCGGGGTGCCGCAGGGCAGAGCTCCTGACTAAGGTGCTCCCACCAGGACCCCGGGCCACTCTGTGGCTCAGCGCCCCCCAAAGGGCACACCAGGCCGCAGGAACCCCCTCCCCGGCCAGCCCTGAGCACGCACCTTGGCCCGCAGGAACAGGGCGGTGATGATGACGCCGTAGATGAACAGGATCCCGTCCAGCAGGTAGCACAGCTTGGGGTCCAGCAAGCCGAAGCTCTGGGCCTCTGTGCGGGGAGAGGGCGGTCAGCCAGGCCCTGGGGACAGACACGACCCCGGGGGCCCACGACTGGACACGGAAACCATGGCAAGGCCTGGATCTACTCCCCGTCCTCCCCCTGACCCCCCTCCCTCACACCCCCTGGAACCCCGGAGCGGGCATGACACCTGGTGGGGCCCCGAAGCCTGGGCAGCCGGGAGGGCGGCAGAGATGGGGCGGGGGGGGGGGGTGAAGCTGTCTGTCCTCTGCGGTCAGGGCAGAGCCTGGGGCCACAGGAGCCGGCTGCGCACACCCGTGGGAGCCGCACACCAGAAGCCTCTGCCTGCCCAGGTCTGGGAGGGTGGCACCATCGGAGTTCCCGGGTGGGGACAGACAGGCGGGTGATGGAAAGAGGGCAGCCCAGCCTCTGACTGAGGAGACAGTGGCTCCGGCGCTGGCTTCCCTCCCCGGGGCCCGGGGCCTCAGGAGCAGCAGATGGAGGAGCCGTGGGTCATCCCCTCCCCCCGACCCTGGCCGCCTCCTGCTCCCTGGCCTAGTTCATGGCCTCAGGCCCCCTCCGCCACCTCTGCCTCCCCCGCCCGCCTGGACCATCCCGGGCACACTGCTCTCCCGCACTGTGCCTCTGTGCTTGGCACACGCTGTTCCCTGTGTTCTCTCCCTTTCTGTCCCCGCAGCCCAGCCGCCATCCGTGACCGTCAGAGGCAGCGACACAGCAGCCAGAGGCCCCGCTGCTCGAGCCTCTCCCACCACAGCACCAGGGGCCTCCCCACGCCAGTGTGCCCGACTGTAGGGTGCACGTTAGCTGGCACTGCCTTGGAGCCTGGGGGCTGGGGACAGATACAGTGAGTATTCTGGTTAAACAAAAGTTGGATTTTATTTGAAAGCTCATTGAGCTGTGAATAGGAGGCAGGGGCTGTAGCCTAGACTGTCCTTCCCACTGGGAACGTGTGTGGCCACTCACCCCGCACAAGGGGGCTCAGCGTCTGTCTGTCTCTGCCACCCAGCCAGGTTTTTCAGGAGGTGACCTGCCAGATGCATCCCAGTGCCAAGGCGCCCTCTGGTGGCCACTGAGGGAGTGGCTAGCGTGCCCTTGAGCAGTATCTTATCCCTATTGAGGCAAGTTATTCAGCCTCGTTAAGTTGCCTCTTTAAAAAAAAAATTATATGTATATATACTTTTATTGATTTCAGAGAGAAAGGGAGAGGGAGAGATAGAAACATCAATGATGAGAGAGAATCCTTAGCCTGCTGCCTCCTGCACACCCCCCACTGGGGATCAAGCCCACAACCTGGGTATGTGCTCTTGACCGGAATCAGACTGGGACCCGTCAGTCCACAAGCCAACCCGCTATCCACTGAGCCACACCGGCCAGGGCTCAGCTGCCTCTCTTGTTAAACCGTGTTTACTCTGTGCCAGACCTGCTTCCATGCAGTGGCTGGTCAGCTCCTCACCACAGCACGATGGACACTGAGGCACAGAGAACTTCCGGGTTAGCAGAGCTCACAGCAGGTGCACCCACCTCACCCTCCCTCCTCCACTGCACCCAGCAGAGGTGACGCTTTGGCTTCTCCCAGGAGCCAGGGGAGCAGGGTGTCCAGGCACCCCAGAGCCCCAGTCACTCCGTCCTCAAACCTGTGGCCCCTCCTCAGGGCAGCCCCTCCGGGGTCCAGCAGCTGACGGCCTCGAAAATCCCCACATTCTCGCTCAGACGCCCTGAAGGCCATTCCCGAGGGCAAAGCCCACAATCTTCACCATGACCTCGCCCGGCCTCACCACGGCCTCCGGACACAGCTGTCTGTTCCTCCCCCTGCCACTGCCAGCCCCACCTGCACCCAACATCCGCCTCATCCCTGAACATGCAGGGCGGGAGCCTGGCCCCGCGGAGTGCTCCCCCGCTCTGGCTGCAATGCTGCGGACCCATGGCGGCATCGTCTGCCTTCGCCTTGACCTCAGCCCCGGGCACCGTGCACACGTCCCCCGCGTGTGGTGGCATCTTCGGGGGGAGCCCGCCCTGCCCCAGGTCAGGCTGCCCGTGGCCCAGGCAGGGCTGTGAGCCCCCGGACACCGAAGCTGGGCTGAGTTCTCCCTGTAGGACAGGAGGGGGGTGTCGCCGTGCTTTATGGGGCGCTGGAAGGAATCGCTGGTGCTGTCATAAATGAGAGCAGAAAGCGACCGCACAGCCGATTCCGAACCATAAGAAGGAGCGTTTGTTTGAGCCGGGCAGAGCCCCAGGTGGGTGGACTGTGGCCTCCGCGGGGGTAAGTAATGGGGCAGCTTTTCTCGTCTCTTTTCGAAGAGCAGCTTGGTTTTCTGACCAAACGACAGGGTGTGTGTGTGGTTGGCCCGGGTGGGGGGAGGGGCTCCCTGCCGGCCAGCTGTGCCTGTGCTGGGAGGAGTGGGCTGAGGGAGGAGTGGCTGAGGGAGGAGTGGCTGAGGGAGGAGTGGGCTGAGGGAGGAGTGGGCTGAGGGAGGAGTGGGCTGAGGGAGGAGTGGCTGAGGGAGGAGTGGCTGAGGGAGGAGTGGGCTGAGGGAGGAGTGGCTGAGGGAGGAGTGGGCTGAGGGAGGAGTGGGCTGAGGGAGGAGTGGCTGAGGGAGGAGTGGGCTGAGGGAGGAGTGGCTGAGGGAGGAGTGGGCTGAGGGAGGAGTGGCTGAGGGAGGAGTGGCTGAGGGAGGAGTGGGCTGAGGGAGGAGTGGGCTGAGGGAGGAGTGGCTGAGGGAGGAGTGGCTGAGGGAGGAGTGGGCTGAGGGAGGAGTGGGCTGAGGGAGGAGTGGGCTGAGGGAGGAGTGGCTGAGGGAGGAGTGGGCTGAGGGAGGAGTGGCTGAGGGAGGAGTAGCTGAGGGAGGAGTGGGCTGAGGGAGGAGTGGCTGAGGGAGGAGTGGGCTGAGGGAGGAGTGGGCTGAGGGAGGAGTGGGCTGAGGGAGGAGTGGCTGAGGGAGGAGTGGGCTGAGGGAGGAGTAGCTGAGGGAGGAGTGGCTGAGGGAGGAGTGGGCTGAGGGAGGAGTGGCTGAGGGAGGAGTGGGCTGAGGGAGGAGTGGCTGAGGGAGGAGTGGCTGAGGGAGGAGTGGGCTGAGGGAGGAGTGAGCTGAGGGAGGAGTGGCTGAGGGAGGAGTGGGCTGAGGGAGGAGTGGCTGAGGGAGGAGTGGGCTGAGGGAGGAGTGGCTGAGGGAGGAGTGGGCTGAGGGAGGAGTGGCTGAGGGAGGAGTGGGCTGAGGGAGGAGTGGGCTGAGGGAGGAGTGGCTGAGGGAGGAGTGGGCTGAGGGAGGAGTGGGCTGAGGGAGGAGTGGCTGAGGGAGGAGTGGGCTGAGGAAGGAGTGGGCTGAGGGAGGAGTGGCTGAGGGAGGAGTGGGCTGAGGAGGAGTGGCTGAGGGAGGAGTGGGCTGAGGGAGGAGTGGGCTGAGGGAGGAGTGGCTGAGGGAGGAGTGGGCTGAGGGAGGAGTGGCTGAGGGAGGAGTGGGCTGAGGGAGGAGTGGGCTGAGGGAGGAGTGGCTGAGGGAGGAGTGGGCTGAGGGAGGAGTGGCTGAGGGAGGAGTGGGCTGAGGGAGGAGTGGGCTGAGGGAGGAGTGGCTGAGGGAGGAGTGGGCTGAGGAGGAGTGGCTGAGGGAGGAGTGGGCTGAGGGAGGAGTGGGCTGAGGGAGGAGTGGCTGAGGGAGGAGTGGGCTGAGGAAGGAGTGGGCTGAGGGAGGAGTGGCTGAGGGAGGAGTGGGCTGAGGGAGGAGTGGCTGAGGGAGGAGTGGCTGAGGGAGGAGTGGGCTGAGGGAGGAGTGGGCTGAGGGAGGAGTGGCTGAGGGAGGAGTGGCTGAGGGAGGAGTGGGCTGAGGGAGGAGTGGCTGAGGGAGGAGTGGCTGAGGGAGGAGTGGGCTGAGGGAGGAGTGGCTGAGGGAGGAGTGGGCTGAGGGAGGAGTGGCTGAGGGAGGAGTGGGCTGAGGGAGGAGTGGCTGAGGGAGGAGTGGGCTGAGGGAGGAGTGGGCTGAGGGAGGAGTGGCTGAGGGAGGAGTGGGCTGAGGGAGGAGTGGCTGAGGGAGGAGTGGGCTGAGGGAGGAGTGGCTGAGGGAGGAGTGGGCTGAGGGAGGAGTGGCTGAGGGAGGAGTGGCTGAGGGAGGAGTGGGCTGAGGGAGGAGTGGCTGAGGAAGGAATGGCTGAGGTGGGCAGGGGTGACCCAGAAAGTTCCATGAAGGGCCCAGGGCCAAGTTCAACTATACAATTAATTAAATATTTACAGCCCCTCCCCCGAGGGAACCCCCACATCTGGACAGACACCGGCAGATGTGGACACGGAAGTCTGCCCTGTCCGTGTTGCTGGGCAGGTGTCTTCTGGCAGGTGCCCAGGTCCAGCCTGAGGCACAGGGAGGACACCAGGCGGACACAGGTGTCTGTGCAGGTGACTCAGCTTAGTCCCAGCAAAGCATGTCCCTCTGACGCCCGCCAAAAAGCAGCTGCAGCCGCCAAGGAGCGGGGTCTGCACACTCAGGCCCCACAGCGGAGCGGGGTCTGCACACTCAGGCCCCCACAGGGGAGCGGGGTCTGCACACTCAGGCCCCTCAGGGGAGCGGGGTCTGCACACTCAGGCCCCCCCACACACAGCGGAGCGGGGTCTGCACACTCAGGCCCCTCAGGGGAGCGGGGTTTGCACACTCAGGCCCCACAGGGGAGCGGGGTCTGCACACTCAGCCCCCCCCCCCCCACAGCGGAGCGGGGTCTGCACACTCAGGCCCCTCAGGGGAGCGGGGTTTGCACACTCAGGCCCCTCAGGGGAGCGGGGTTTGCACACTCAGGCCCCTCAGGGGAGCGGGGTCTGCACACTCAGGCCCCCACAGGGGAGCGGGGTCTGCACACTCAGGCCCCACAGCGGAGCGGGGTCTGCACACTCAGGCCCCACAGCGGAGCGGGGTTTGCACACTCAGGCCCCCACAGCGGAGCGGGGTTTGCACACTCAGGCCCCTCAGGGGAGCGGGGTTTGCACACTCAGGCCCCCTCAGGGGAGTGGGGTCTGCACACTCAGGCCCCACAGCGGA